AGAAGCAGCTATACACAGAAGCGAGTTCTCTATGCTTCTATTTGGAGATCGTTAGAATCCCTCATTCGATATGTTCACAAAAATGTTCTTTGCTTCATCACTTCCATTACTTTGTCCCACTCGCGCCAGGTTTAATCACCAGAGAACTCAAAGGATACACTTTTTTGCGAAAAGCAAGACAATTCCCAATCCTCATCAATCAGTAATTAGTAAGAATAATAGCCGAATACCTTGCTAACACAGTACTGAACAGCAGTCAATCATCTCAACTTGGCAGATAAACTCCCGTCAAGATGTTTTCAACCTCCCTAAATTTTCACCAGTCGTGTTTGTCGTCTTCAGAATACGTCTCAAAAACTCTTACCATTCATAGGGCTTCCGCTCCAGGCATTGCCTGTCCCAAACATGTAGTCGAAGAATTCAGCGTCGCTCCAGTTGGAGGACACCCGCAAAATCCCTACAGAAATGCAGGTTCGTCCATCGATCATCAACCTCTGGCAGGCTGGTATTCTCCTTCCACTGACCAACTAACCTCGGAAAAGAGAGATTACAAGTCGTCAGAATTATTCCCCAATGCTTACAAAACAGTCCAAGATCATTCAATGACCTTCGTACATTAAGTAGATCCGCAATCCTCAACAGTACTCATTATAATAATACAGAACCGCAAATTAAACTCATGCACGGGTATATATACAGGCAAGGTATCATACGAGAAATTTACACCAATGAATCAACAAAATACCTCCAGAATTTGCTGAGGCTTTTATCTGAAACAGACCGACATTAATATCGATTTGATGAAAGTTATGTTTATGAGGTATGATCCTATACACAGCAGGTTCTCAAAATTTTTAAATTATCAAAAGGGTCCTGATAGGTGAAATTTCGCATCACACCGAGTAGATTTACTTCTACTATACTAACACTGCACAAGCGGAAGCCGAAAGTTAAGACGCGAATCGAAGTGGTTAACCAGCAGGTTATTGAAGGGTATGTCAGTGATCATTTGTATTTTTCACGATTGGGAACATACAATACTGTATTCAATTTTCTGAGTCAGGTTTTGACAGAGCTAATCTGAAAATCATGAGCGCAGATTACGATATTATTAAAACATTAAAATATATTGAAGTAATGTATTTTCGAGTTTTCATTGGATGACACTCTGAAGGCAAAAAATATCCTGTAACTATTTGATTTTCAAGTCAAGTTTCGACAGAGCTAAAATCTGAATATCATGAGCGCAGATCACGATATTATTAGAATAACTGTACAAAATATTGAAGTATTGCATTTTGGAGAACACCAGGATTATTTAATTTTCATTGGATGAAACTCTGAAGGCAAAAATATCCTAACTGTGCAGTACTCTTTGGAATGAATAACATCACTCGATCTATGATATCCTTGCAACGTGTGGGGATCAAAAGACTCAATTTACCGTCAACTTCGTGACTGACCTCGATCCATCACTCCAATCATGCGGGCGTTTAAATTTTTGACTGATAGCTTCCGCAAACGGTGAATTGGCTCTCTCCACGTCAAAACCACGTTTCACAACACCTGCAATACAACACTACCGGCAAAATGGAAGTTCAGAGACAACATCGAAATATACATCAGTCTCGATCATGAAATATCACTTCGGGTACACTCTTTTATACGTTCCCGGGAACCAAGAAAGACGTGACTCACAAGACGAAGTTCGAAGTTAAACTACATGAAATGATGAGTTCAAAGGTCGAACTGGCACGCAGGCTAGGTTAGGCAGTAAGATACGCACTGCCAGGTGAACCTACTCACACTATACAAGCACCCGCAGTCGGAAACACAATACGAATCAACTTGTCTTACCTAATAAAGTTACTTGCGTATGTACGTCGGTAGACAGGAACGCAATCCCTCCCCACTTCTCCCTCTGCCTCCCTCCCACAGAGACCCCAGAGAGGCCTGCAGGAGGGTCGCGTATCCCATTTTTTAACTTTAAAAATTTGTCAAAATTCGAATTCTTGATGAAACTTCAAATTTCTTCCAATGTATGAAGCGCCATGAAATTTCCAACATTTCCTTTTTTTAAACATTAAAAAATGTTGACAATTGACTGAGAAACAATGAAAACCGCAAAACATTTTTTTTAAAACGTACGAAAAATGGGAAAAAAGATTTTACTTTTTGAATTTTTTCTATTTCAATTATGAACATAATTCAATCAGAAAAATTTGTAAATTTGTGAAACATCCATGCGCATGAACCCAGCAAAAATTTTTGAAATTGAATGAAAAGTGAAGAAGTTTCAATGAGCTAAACTGAAAAATGTGGAAAATTGTGAAAATTTCGTTTCCTGTTTTCACAACTTTAAAAATTTGAAACAAATTCAATTCTCAACCAAAATTACTTTTAAAAACTTGATAAGAAGTGCCATGATGTTTGCCTCATTATGCATTTTTAAATTTGGAAAACAAATCAATATTGATTGAATTACAATGCAAAATGTGGAAACATTTCTCAAAACCATACAAAAATTGAAAAAAGTAATTTTACTCTCTTAATTTTCAATATGACAATTTCCATCATTAAAAACTACAAAAATATCCTAATTCCTAAAACACCTCCTCGCACATAGTCCAGCAAAAGTTTTGAAATTGATAAAATATTTAAAAAATTAAACTGAGCTGAACTGAAAATGGCAAAATTTTTGAAAATTCCATTTCCTGTTTTTCTAACTTTACAAATTTGGCAAAAATTGAATTTGCAACCAAAATTAGTTTGAAAAACTGTACATAAAGCGCCATGATGTTTTCCACATTGTGATTATTTAAATTTGGAAAAAAGTTGAATATTGGCTAAATTACACTGAAAAATGTGGAAACATTTTTCAAAACCTTATGAAAATTGCAAAATACAATTTTACTTTCTTAATTTTAAATGTAATAATTCCATCATTTAAAAAATGTCAGAATTTGTAAAACTATTCCTATGCACATATTCCTGCAAAATGTTTGACAATTAAAGAATGTTGAAAATTTCCCTGAGCTAAACTGAAAAATGCAAAATGTTTTGAAAATTTCATTTCCCCTTCTGCCAAATTTAAAAATTTGTAAAAATTTGACTTCTTTGGAAAATTGCAACTTCATTTCATTGTAGGAAGCACAATTTATTTTACAACATTTCTTTTCTCTAAATAATTAAAAAGGCTCAAAATTGACAGAGATATAAGAAATAAATCAAGATGTTTCTTAATATTGTACAAAAATCTCAAAAAAATAATTCTATTTTTTCCAAAAATAATTAATGAAGTTCTCAACCTATTTCAATTTTTAAAAATATTTAAATTTGTAAAACATCTATGCACACACAGCTAATTAAAATTTCATCAATTGAGCAAGTATCGAATCAAATAAACTACAAATAGCTGAATTGGAAAATGATTGACTCCTGAAAAACCCCTAACACATTTTTCAAGCTTAAAATACATTAAAAATGATCTGATGCATTCAACCAAACATTTGTGAACTCAGTGCCTTTTCAAATCTTGAAAAATCTTGGAAATTTACGAAGTTGTGTTGAAACATATAAAAGCATAATTTTCATGATACACAGTAATATTAAAAGATATTAAAATTTTGAGGATGGTGGGCATTCATCACCAAAAGAAAAGTCAACATTTCTCAAATCCAAAAAATTAGAATGGGCTGAGAATGAAAATACAAAAGGAGAAAAAATGTAACCAGGGAATTATGTAAAAATGTTTGCAAACAGCAATTTTCATTCAGAAATTAAATCTGAGTCATGCTCAGTTTTTTTTTTAATTTTTCTAGGGTGGCCTGTGCAGTTATGAATGGCAGAAGTTTGTGGATAGAATGAACTAAAAGTGAAGGAAAGGGCAAGTGGCAGAAGTCAGAGCACAATCTCAATGTCTTACACCCAAATGTTTTATGGGACTCACAAATGTAGGACTCCAGTTAAGTTCTGAATTTCAAAGACAGTTAAAATTAGTGACAAAGTCTGCCTAAGTGATCATCTCTACATTTTAAATTGATATTCTCAAAAGTATTTCAGTGATCCTTATGTTTTCCTATGCTTATAAAAGATTCCAAATCAAGTGCATTCCAATAGAAGATCTTAAATTTTTTCCAATGATGCCCAGGTGTTGATGGGCACCCCCAGATAGGGTAGTTCAATGGGTAGGGTAGTTTTTTGGTGGAATAGGGTAGTTTCTGTGTAGGATAAGGTATGCTGTATTGGGGCCCTAATCTCATATAGTGAAATACTGTGGGACATTATGGGCCCTAATCCTGTGCAGTGACATACACTGAAATGTTTGGCCCCAAATGTAACACAGTGAAATAGTGTGCAAAGGTAGGGCCCTAATTTTGCACAGCAGTGAAATACTGTGGGAAATTATGGGCCCAAAATCATTCAGTGAAATACTTTACAATGTTTGTGTCCTAGCATCTGACAATAAAATACTATGCAATGTTTGGGCCATTACCAGGAATGGAGAAATAGTGAGGAATTTCGTGGGTACTTCCATTCTACAGTATAGTGAAATACTGGATAACATTAGGGACCCAAGTTATAGTTCAGTGAAATACCACATCTTTTCAATTATTTTTTCAAGTGAAGTATTGTTTTTGAAGCATGTTGGGGACTTGACATGAACCAACAAATACCACATGCCTACAGATGGACAATAAAAATGCTACCACCTGTAATCACATGGCCCTGTCTGCTCTTATTGATGCATAACTACTCTAAGTATGGGACATTTTAAAAACCTTGGTAAAATTCTTAACATGATGCCCAGGTGTGGCTGGGCACCCCCAGCTTGTACAGTATAAAGTCAAGACTACAAGAAGGTCGTTATTCCTGCATACTGCGCATGACTCACCCTGTACAGAAACCGTCGACTGATCAGTTCGCAAAAAAAGGAGCGAGAGCGAAGAAAATAAGCCGGAGTTCTGATCTTGGGGAATTTTCTCTTATATTGATGATTCACGCAGACAACGTCTGGAGCTGATGCGAGAGATGTATCATAACGAAGCGGAATTGTCCCCCACGTCTCCGGACAGTAATGTGGAAACCATGACCGGCGGGGATCCGTTTTATGATCGCTTCCCGTGGTTTCGCCTAATTGGACGAGCGTTTGTGTTCCTCACGAACCTGTTGTACCCGGCATCCCTGGTGCACAAGGTGCCGATCGTGAGTGAGAAGGGGGATGTGCGGGGATATCTGCGGATCGCTGTGCAAGCTTCGCTGGGTAAGCCTCTTTTTCTTGATCGTATTATTTCAACCTATAGAATGTGCCGATAGTTTTCATCGGTTTGCCTTCATTTATTTTATTTATTTTTATTTTTTGACGATCTTTTCAAATGAATATCCCTCTATTTGCTAAATGAAAGCCGTGCATGTACTCGGGTAGTAATCGCGCGATTACTATACTTCTACTATACGCATGATTACTATACGAGTACTATATAATACCTAAGACTCTCCAAAGTCTAACTCAATTGAATTAGACTTAGGAGAGCCCTAGGTAGAAGCGAAACATTTTTTGAAAGCCTAGGAAGTGTAGATCGGATTATTATTTAATGATCAACAACTCTATCCAAGGTCAAAACTCTCCTTCTTGCAGTTAAATTTTGTAATTTCAAATAAATACGAATGATATTTTGTAAAAGAGCCTCGGCAAAGCGGAAAAAAGGTCAGTGGTTGGAATATTGCACATAATAATGCAATGCTTCGGTCCTGATTTCCCATTATGCTTCCAGAATTTTCAGATCTTTATGCAGCACTGACTGAGTACAGAGTAACAATTTCGATGAGTACTGTATTTCTGAATTGGATGTTACTCTGAGAATGAGATGGAGGTTTTATTTTCCGGTGGGATGAAGCGTTGTTCTATCTACAGTACTTTTTTAGTCCGAGTTTTTCATCCTTAACGGTAGAGAGGATTCGTTTCAAAAAAGTGACTGCAATTCCTTTGATTGTATATATACGTTTTTTTTGAATGAGATGGAAAAGTAAGTTCCATGCAGCTGTGGGATTTGATCACATAGGTCCTTGGAGATGCGTGAGAATTCAACGTTATGAACGCGAAAATGTTTCTGACGGTTTGAGTAGGGATATAAGTTTTCTGTCTGAAAGAGGAATGAAAATGTTCGTTCGTGCAGGGGATGATACGCCTGGTCCGGAGGAAGGCTGTCACGTGAAGCAGTCAGCGAGAATACATTTCACGGATGAAATGGCTGCCGGGAAAGCGAGGTTGCCAAGTTCGCGGCAACACAGCTTGTGTGATTCTATGGACGAATCGAGCAGAGTGGTTGAAGGACATACAGAAACCATCTCCGGTCTTCCTCAAGCTGATCGTGAGAAGCCGAATTGATCCCCTTCTTTTTCGAATGCATATTTTAATTTTGCTTCTATTTGTTTTTTTTCCTGCGACAGGACCGCAAAGATCTGAGTCGAAGGACGACGAAAAGCTTCCAGCGCATTTAGTGATCGGACAAGAATTTACATTCCGTGTGACAGTTCTGCAAGCTGTTGGAATTCCGTCTGAGTACTCTGATATTTTTTGTCAGTTCAAGTAAGTTCTTATGAAATTCAACTGCGCATAATTCTCTACTTTTCTGACTGTGGAATGTAATTCCTCAAGTTTTCTCAATCGTCACGACGAAGCGTTCTCAACGGAGCCGATAAAGAATCCGGGAAAAGCGAATGCCTTGGGATTTTATCACGTCCAGAACGTTCGTAGTTCGACAACAACAATGTTTTTCAAAGTTTTAAGCAAATTTCTTCTCCTTGCTTTTTCAGATTACTGTTACAGTTTGCCAGGCATTCATAAACTACATCAGAGATGAACCGATTGTGTTCGAAGTTTTTGGGCATTATCAACAACACCCGTTGCATTGGGATGCGAAATTGGATCCCCACATGTGAGTAATTCTGAGAATGCGATCCTGCATTTGCGAGGTGTATTTTATTTGTGTTTTGCGTTTCTGTTCGTTGTTGGATATATTTTCGGTTTTGTTCGCTATTTACAGTACAATAGTCGTGGTGAGGATCGTCGCTAATGTCTGTCCATGATTTCTTTTTCCTCTCTTTCCCATCACGCTAGCTTTGGGATAAATGCTTTTCATAACCAGTGTTTACGTGCCTGTGATGAGGTCGATACTTCTCCATGGATGTCGTGGCTGGGTGTAGGGTTAGTCGTTTTTTAAACTGATCTCCATTTTGGTACTTGTTGAGTTGAGGGACGCCAGGTATTTCGATGCATGTGACCGTATTCATCATATTCAATGGTTTGCAAGAGTTGTTTTTTAATTAATGTGCGCGTATATTTGACTTAATTAAAATTGGCTCGTTCCGCTTCACGTATTTTTCCTGTTAGTTCCCTGTCGGATAAATCATCACTTGACAGAGGAATACTATTCATAGGAATACTCTAGCCGACTTCGATAATAATCGGCATCGCGTAACTTTAGGTTCGACTGCATTAGCGTTAGAATGAGCTAACTGTTCGTGAGTTCATTTTCCGATTACAGCTTGCAATCTATTTTTGCATCTATTTTTGTTTGTCCGAGTAGATCACGATGCTGAACGAAATATTGACGTTTCGTGTATTCTGCGAGATTTTTTTTTTTTCATAGCATGAAGCTCACATCAAGGGTTGTTTCATAAGTTTTGTCAGTATTTTGTTACTCGTGTCGAAGCTTCTTGAATGGGTGCCATTTTTGCAGTAAAATCTGATCATTCCCGACCCTTCGTTCCGATATTTGGTCTTCGAATTTTGAATACGGTACGAGAAAGATGAGAAGTTTTGCGTTAATTTTGAATAAATCAGGCGTAAATTCCACGATTTCATGTTTCATGACTGTACTGATGGTCCAATAGTTACTGAATATTTTGAGTACAGGAATCAATAATCTTCGTAGTGATCTCGTAGTGACGTCTCAGATCTGATGATCAAATTGTAATAAAGTAAAAAAATACTCTTGGTTCGACTTTTTAGATTTCTTGTCAGTTATACTGACTGAAATGCGCCCTAACATTTCAATTGGGTAGCTGGAAGTTGACTAAATCAGGGTTGAAAATTGAAATGGAAGAAACTTCTTAGCAAATGAAACGGCGGCTTCGAGTTTTGTTTTGGATCCCACAGTTGTTGGGAAGTTTCTTTTCAATGTACTGACAGAACTTTTGAATCATCCTCTGTCCGTGTACGGTACTTTATAATGATGACCCTATACTTGAGGAAAACCGATATATCGTGAGATAATTTTAAGTGCCAAAAAAGTTGGTGTGACGTGAAGAACGAAATGATTTCCGAATACTCAACTCGAGAAGAACCTGCCTCCATATCCTCATCTTTTATTTTTCGCTTGCTGAAGTTTGCTTGGAATGTTTTGTTTCGTTCTCGGTTACCGTCGTGTTTCGCTGGTGAATCGCTTCTCTGCTGCCTACTGGGTGATCATTTTTGGCTGGATTTCGTGTGTGGATTATTATTCGCACATCCGCTGGTATCGTATAACACATGGTCTGATCCGCTTCGTCCCGCTTTACCTTTATCCCATGCTTTTGTGAAATGTCGCTGTTTTAATCGTATGTTCAAAACTGGCTGCCATCGATATGCTACGATCGACTGCTGCGAATTTTATTTTGCTTGTTGGCTTCTGTTTTCTTTCCTATCTTTCTTTTCTTTCGGCTTATTGTGATCTCTTCTTGTCTCTTGACGGGAGAAGATTTTTGAATTCCAGCACCAATAGCCGTCCGCCGCCAAAGAGACTCTTGCCGCCCTCTTTGCCCATCTCGATGCCTTTGAAGAGCCCCAAGTATGGCATTTTACCTTTGAATTCTCCCATCTCCACGGCCCACATTCAGGCGAAGTACGACGTTCTCGTCTGGTTCGAGGTCTGCGAACTGGGTGCGTATAAATTCATCGCATTCCTTTTTTTTTAGAACGATAAAACTGCAATTGTTTTCATATATCCTATCGCTAACTTCAAAGCTTTCATTGCGGGAATACCGTATCAGCGCTGTTCCCTGCTTGAATCATGGAACAGCAATACTTACGAGTATATACAGTAGTGTACAGCATTTTATTCGAGTACGACAAACCATCCGAATAGCTTTTTTTTTGTGTGCAGTATAACATTTCAATTGAAATGACTCGTGATTAAGAATTGAGTCCTTTAGATCTCCAGGTGTTTCCGTATATTTCGAAGTTTTCCGCTTTACAATGTTAAGCTTTATATAGGGTTTTAGTAGAAAGTGTGTTGAAGAAAACGTCTTGGATGCAATAGGACGCCAGAGAAAATGCTCTCACTGAACGATGATGCTTTTCAGGATGAAGAAGATATTCCTGGTTTATTTTTACAACTTGGACAATAAACGGAAGATATACTGTATCTACATGAAGAACAGACCAGTCATAGAAATGAAATGCTGGCAACTTATTTAGGAAATACTGGTACTGTAATAAAATAATTTTTAGTCATTTTTGGATTTTAGTTCCCCAGAAATTTGTTACTTGCCCTACTTCAAGTTGTTATCTGTTCTTGAAGATTAAGTGTTGACGTGTTGACAGCGAATCGATTCTTGTGTATTGGTTAAACAATTTGACTTCCTTGATTGCGACATTTTCTCACTGATCATTTTATCTCTGCAAAATTTTAATCTCTTTATGCTTACGCTGCAGTGAAATTTTCTTGTCGGAAAAAAAATCTAGTTATTTAGATTCAATCCTCATGCAGTATTCGACCGTATCTTGATAGTTTGCACCTTTACTGCATTAATTATGTTCGCTTCTGGTTGTGTGGTTTCAGCGTCGAACGGAGAGTATGTGCCTGTGATCGTCGAGCACAGTGATGATCTTCCTTGCCGAGGATTGTACCTACTTCATCAGGGTATACAAAGAAGGATGCGAATCACGCTTGTGCACCATCGAATGGCTTCCATTCATCTGAGCTGGAAGGATGTTCGGGAGCTCGTTGTCGGTAAGTTTCTGTATTCATTTGCTGTCTGTAAATGGAAAGATTCGGAATTTTAGTAAGAGATTTTCAAGTTCCTGAAAAGAAAAAAATGAATACGCGTTTCATGTGTCAGTATTGTAAACAGTATACTGTATCACCATTCGCAGGTCGCATTCGGCCAGTGCCGGAATGCAATTTGGACGACGATGATGACGACGCGTCAGTGCTGTCACTGGGCCTTTTCCCAGGCGAATATTTAGAAATCCCTGGCGAAGATCGGATTTTATACCGATTTGAAGCTGCTTGGGACACCTCACTGCATAATTCAGTTTTGCTCAACCGGGTCACCCCGTCCGGAGAGCACGTTTACATTACTTTGTCGGCCTACTTGGAGGTGGGTTTCGCATGTACTGCGTATTTCCTCGAGTACCACACGCTTTCGAGTGAGACTCGTTCCTCGATTTTTTGGCGCAAAAAACTTTCCCCATATGAGACCCCTATCCGTCAGTTTTTATTGGCTGAAAATCGGATGTTTTTTTTTAAATGATCATTTTAACTGAACATTTTTATGCTTGAATGAAGAACCGTAGAGTATTGAAACAGAAATTGATGCCAACCAAAATTTTAAATCCATTTTTTCACCTAAGTATCTTCTGACTTACACCACGATAGATTCATTATATTTTTTCCGAAAAATGTGTATCCGCATGCCACGCGCGCACCACTTTCCTGGCTCTTTCTTCCAGAAAAGGTATCCGTGGTAACTCGGTTTAATACGGCAGTTATATTCAGTACAGTACAGTACTGTGCGAACATGATTCAAAACTATATTTTATGAACTACGAGACCATAATAACAACGAAAGTAAATTTACATGCAACTGTCAACGGAATGCTGATTTATCGAGAGTTCAATGAGTTATGTTGGCAAAGCATTTTAAAGATTACCATCTTCAGCAATTGTAGCTTGTTTCACATTTTTCTGCACGGAAGCAGCTGATGCATAGGGAGTTGAGATATTTTGCGAGAAGAGCATTGACGAAGTGGTACTTGTGTGCCCACCAGTTTTAATTGTAGCAAGAGCGCTTATTTTTGCAAAATTTATCGGCGAGATGGGCATCGAAATTTTATTACTTCGAATCTTAGATCAGCTGTCTGCATCTTGCGATTTTTGTAATACTGTACAGTATTACGAGTATTTTCAATAAATCCCTTTTTCAAACCACCTTTAGACATCTGAGAGAACTGGTGTTCCAATGACGCAAACATGATTTTCGGTGCATTTCAAGTTTTTACCATTTTTGAAGGGGAATCAGCCGTATGGAGCATATTTGTTCACTTCTTATTTTTGCAATATTTAATTTTATTTAAGGACGTTGTGTATCTCCATAATTTTCTCACTATCCAAGTCTTCCTTCTTCGATTAACAGGCTTAAATTATACGAGTTGCATCAAGCAGGTATAAGCACTTGGATGCGATGGAGATTAAATATGTTGAATGCCGTAACTTAAGTGGTACGAAATATATATATTTTTTAATGATTTTCTAAGAATTGTTCGAGTTTCGTGTAAAATCACTTGATGAAATGGTTTATTATGGTTGTTATTCATTTTGTGTCGTTGCGTTTTAAAAACATTTGTGAATTCAAATGTCTTGACAGGTGGATAATTGCTGTCAACCGGCAATAGTGACCAAAGATCTTTCGGTGGTGATATGCTCACGTGATGCCCGCACACCTCGGTCCCTGCGGCAGTTGTTTTCTGGGTCTTACAAGAACGCGGAGGCGAATCGGCTGACGGGCGTGTATGAAGCCGTTCTTCGGCGAAATTCCGAGTCAGGTAGTCCAGGTTTGTCGATTGTTCTTAGTCCTGCTAGTTAGTGTTTCCTGCCGATTAGTCGGCCCCTTCGCCTCTCATCTTTTCTTCGAAACTGACGTGTTATTCGTCTGCACTGACACCCATCTGTTGTATCACACGCATCAGGAGTTTGAAGTGATGGTCACATCGTTTATATATACAGTATATATATATATACAATGGAACCTCGATAACTCGAACCTCACTTGTAGAATGCCTCCCTGTACGTCGAATTTCTTTTCAAACCCCTGTCTGAATTCCCTTCAGAAACAATGCTTTAAAAAATTCCCCAACTCGGAAGGCTAAGGCTTTCCTTTTCAAACCTCCAGAACTCGAATTCTCTATACAGGCCTTTTGGCTATCATTTTACATTGACACTGGAAAGAGAAACGCAATGAAAATGTTACGTTGCGTTTTCGAAAGAAGTGAAAGACTATGTGTGATAAGGAAACCTTGCCTCCCAAGTTCAGCTTCTTGTCGACTCATTCAAGGAACAATTTAATGCTTAAAATATCACCAATCAAAATTCCCTGTAATTATTTCTTTCCCCCAACACAAATGCTTGTCTCCCTAACTCGAAATTTTCTGCCGGTCCCTTTGAAGTTCGGCTGAAAGAGGTTCGACTGTAATAGATCATGTCTCTTGCGGAATGATCGTACTGTATAAATATAAGTAACCGGTTATACTGAACCCTTATTTGTCCTGTGTTTGTGTTAAAGGAGCGCATCGACGTCAGAGGCGAGTGTTGGATACGAGTGGAACGTATGTCAGAGGTGAAGAAAATCTGGTTGGATGGCGTCCGAGAGGCGATTCATTGTTATGGGAGCATCAATGGGCACTCGAAAGAATGATGCGGCTTGAAGCCGTTACGAGAACGACGCATCTGCTGCTTCTGCGCGAGAAACTTGGCCTAGATGAAAATCCTTTCTGCTTCTCTCCTAGTTCACAAAGCGTAAGTTCCACTTTCCCCTCTTGAAAAATTTAAAATTTAATTCGTCTAAATAATTGTAATTATTCTGAAATCAATATTTCGCTTAATTTTTAAATCTTGCGATTTTGAAGGAATTCCGTATACTATGTACGTTTCTCTAGACCTTTCTGACTGCAGTGGATCGGAGAAGCACAATGGAAGTTATGCTGGGTTGAACGGACTTGAATTACAGTAATTTTTATGCATGAGCTATCACAGTACATAATAATTATTATTTTTTGTTTTATTCGTCGAAAAATTATAGACCTCACTTTTGCTGTTTTCTCCGCATGTGAAATAATTTAAAAATGTTTCAGGAGAATGCGAAAAGAACGAGAGCCAGGGTATCAGCCGCAGTCCGAGGAAACTCTAGAGGTAATGGAACTCCGTCGAGTGAATTAGTAGGAAACGTGACTTCCCCGCAGGCAACTATGGCGGTTGATCCGTACCAGCCATGGGACATGAGTGAAAGGGAACGCACTTTGGCTATCAAATATTTGAAGCTCATCCAAGGTTGTCAATACTCCAAGGTTTGTCAATATTAATGATTTGCCGACTTAGATGGAAAAATTAACCCAAGAATCCATCCAGTACGAACAGAAGCCCGCAATTGCCGTCACGCCCTCCGACGACGATGGATTTTACCAATCATCATCTAACTCGGCGCTTGAGTACGTATTTTTGAATAATTTTGGTTACCATTTGCAGTGTACTGTTATTGACACTGGATGTTTAATCTTATTCGATCATGTTTTTTCTGATGGTATGTATGAATGTATGTACCGTATATTCAGCATTCCCTATGAATATGCTCTCGATAAGCCGCCAATTTAAATTTTAAAAAGCATAACTTCCCTGATGATAAAAGCATTGGAAACCCATTTAAAACGCTATCCACCGAAGTTATTAAATCTAATAAACTTTCAGTCAATTAATTTTGTCTTCGATCGCCCGCCGAAAAAATTCAAGTTTCTCCTATCGCCATCCCCGTTAAAACGCCACAAACCTTATAAACAAAAGGTGACCGCTTATCGAGGTCTGACCTAATTATTCGTTTATTTCCAACGGTCGATTTTGCGCTGCAACTTTATCTCGAGTGCCAATTCTATATTGAAAAAATATCTTTTTCGCGATTATGAGGGAAAATATTGGCTAGTTGAGTGCTGCTTCCCAAGCCAGCTATTGATCCGGAGATAGGAAAAGAAAACTAAATAGCTCACGTGTCATGTGTATAAACGAGTTGTCTTCATAAATTAAATAGCAAATTCAGGGTACAAATTATTTTAGGGACTAATTAATTTTATTTTGCTGGCATTGTTAAATGTATTAATTTTAGTGTTCTCGTGTTTTAAATTTTGTGGGAGCGCGATATTATGGAACGCTCTATTCAACTGTTCAAATAGAGCTTCAAAGCAACCCCCTCATGTTGCAGATTTTATTCAAATTTAATTATCGAAATTTTCGATGATGGAGCTGATGATGAACCCAATTTTTTCTTTTTAGTTTGCAGCGTAGTCCCGAGAGACCGGATTCCTTGCCGATTCGCGGAGCATTCACGACGATGGGACTTACGTCTCCAAGCAGCTCTCGGCGCCTTCTTTGCGAAGGCGGCGTGGGTGGAGGTGGGATTTCCCCGAGTTATGCTTGTCCAAGTCACTTCGGACAGAACGCCATGCCGTCTTCGTCATCCCGGAACGGCAGCAGCTGTTACGACGAAGACGAAGATATTTTGTACCCTCTAGCGTTGTATGTTTGCGAGCTCGAAGAGATTCGTCTCAGTCCTATTATTTCGAAGAAGGGCTTCGTGAATATCATGGAGGAGCGCAAAGGCGGATGGATGCGTCGTTATTTGGTATGTTACGTACGAAAGTCAAGTGCCGTGGGGTGATTTCTTTCGTAAAATGTTTCCTTCATCTCGCGAACTACTTTTGGATCATCGTTGTGTAAATTGAGAAATTCTTTCCGTCGTGCGCAGGTGGTGAGACGACCGTATGTGTTCATCTACAAGGATGAAAAGGATCGTGTCGAGCGTGGGATGATAAATCTGGCGACAGCGCAAGTTGATTGTTCAGAAGATGGGCTTGCATTAGGAAAGATTCCGAATTCCTTCAGGTGCTTCCTGCCACATCTGTCCAATTTATTGTTTTGTATTTTAAATTTGTATTTTGCTTCTCAGTGTGGTGACAGAAATTCGTGGTTACCTGATTGGTTGTTCGAACGAAAGGGAATTCAACGATTGGCTGTATGCGATCAACCCACTTCTGGCGGGGCAGATCAGGTAAGTTTTGCAGATGCTTTAATTTCTTTTCCGAACTGGTCTTCTACGAAATTGCAGTATAATGTCGTTACAACGAACCTCGCTGTGGAAAATTCATGTCCACTACAAATTTATTTTTAAGTCCCTGCTGTTGATTTACTAAATGTATTATCCTGTATAATCCTTTTTCTAGTTCCGAAGTCTTCGTTGTAATGAGATTCTCCTTTTACTTTTCTCTAGTGTTACGGCTTATTATTTGCTTGCTAAATTTCAATTCTGGATAGACTCGCCAGCTGTGAATAAATTTGTTGAATTTTGCGTTGCATTGGTGTAATTACAGTTCGATGTCCGACTCACATTTCAGTTTAGCAGAAAATGGGGAATAGAGTGGTAGAAACTTATGGCTATACAGGATAAGAACTTCATGATTTTCGCGGAAATGGAGCTTGTAAGCATTCATTGCTTTATTTTATTTTTTTACCGTACCACAATACCTCAGGTTATCCCTCGAAAAAATCCTGTAATCGTTTCCTAGTAAATGTTTTATAGAAAATTATTTACGGTACAGTACTTTAAAAAGCGACCTGTCTTATTTTCGGCAGAAAGAGCCTGATGAACAACTACAGTGGATTTTTTTTTTAACTCGAACTGCAGAGAACCGTAAAAATATCGAGTTACGGAATCTACTATTTTTGCTGGAGGTAATACAAAATAATTTCAGGAAATTAACTTTGGTTATCTTCAGGAGCTTAATTTGCTGATTAAATGAGTATACAGGATATAAATGAGTATACAGGATTGAACTTTGAGGCAAGGGTTCATTGACCCCATTTGTGAAACACGTTCTTCCGAAAAATGTCAAGTCAAATTGTTGATGCTTTTTTCTTTCCTGTCTACCCCAGAATAAGATACCAAAAGCCTGCAAAAATTAGATTTATATAGAATTGAGCGGGAAAGTCTTTGAGTTCGGAAGGTTTATTATACAATTCCTGGAAGAATTGGGGGGGGGGGGTCTGGAAAAAAATTCAACGAATGGAGGTTTGAGTTGTGGAGATCCAATTGTACAGTACTAAGGGAACACTCCGATTTCGTAGATCGAAAAGGTCTCGTCAACCTCCCACCGTCAGCCGACTGAATAGCAGAGAAGGGACGACCAAAACGGGCTTTCCTGCGCCATCGCAGTAATTCATGGTCCTGCTGAATATTCCCGTGTGGCGCCTCGACGGACTTGAAGCACCGGTGATGGCTTTGCATTCCCCTGCAACAGTTTTTTCATGGCTGAGTATTGAGTCACTGCGAGCCATTCGACGTCGGATAGTGCCTGGCATAGATATAGGCTCGCCGCGTTTTCGTAAGAGGTTCGCGTGAATTGTTGACGATATTCCTTTCTCGCTGGAAAAGGAGATGCCTCTGTTCGCAGTTTGCTGTTGAATTGTCTTGTGATAGACATTGCGGTGTTCACCGTGATGTCTTTTAAATGCGCGCTCGCTCCAAAAATAATAATAATAATCATAAAAGTGGAACCAGGTGATTTTTTTCCAAGCGAGACGTTTTAAAATACGTGACATTTCAGTTTTCTCTCTTAATGTATGACGAAAATGCTTCGCGAGCATTTCAATTCAAATAAAGTTGCGGTTTACGTTATGTGTATTTGGTAGGAACACTCCTCATTCATGTGGTCACTCTAGTGATTGTCTGCTTTGATAATTGCTGAGGATATTTCTGCGCGAAAATTTCATTTTACCTGTCTCCGGTTTGCTCCGAAGTATCATTTTCAATATTTTCAATTTCGGATGAAATAACGCATGAAAAACGTTTCCTTTTAACCGAAATTCATATTGTTAACCCAGTATTCTTGTCGTTTTGTGATCTTCTGGGCATTGTCTGATTATCATTTTTAGCGGACCAATTTTCGTTTATCAAAGCAATTCTCTGAATAATTCCGTGGAATGGACGAAATCAGTGAGACGACCGTTTTGGTCGGTTTAGGGGATCTCAAAGTGTACCAAAAATCAACCGAGTGGGAATTCAATCGAGTTCTTATTTGCTGAAATGGCGTGTAGTTGCAGAAGCCGTATCATCTAGTCTGTCGTGAGCTTATGATGGTTCATGCTAGTTCCTCATCAGTCTGTCTTGTCAAGCGTTTGTTTTTTTTTTTTTTTTTTGCGTGATGTGGAATCCTGTGGAAGGTCGGAATATTGTGAGCATTGCGCTCGTTGGGAATATGTGGAAAGCTAGTCATTAACGCAGTTTTCTTTTTCACTTTGTAAAGTGAGGTTTTTTTGCCATGGGAAATTTTGTTTGCAACTTGAGATCGCTTTTTGTGCTTATTGTGAAATGTGCATTGTTGATTTTTTTGCGCGTGGAGCATTGAGCGGCATTCCCAAGGAAGAATTAAATGTGCTGCTTTTTCGTAAATTATTTCGACATTACTGATTAATTATCCCAGTCCTAGTTTTTATGGTGAGTGGGTTTTATGTCGTATTTTTTCCGCAGTGTTCTTGAGTGAGTGGCATTTACTTTAAAACGTAGGAATCATGCTTAACGATATCGTTTCGGGCTTACCGTAGTTTTTTTTTCAACCATCATCATTTTTGATTGTGTTCTCGAAATAGTTTTCACGAGGAAGAAAACATGGCGCTTGTAAAATTGCCGATGGATGAAGAAATAGTCTCATTGGTAAGTTCCCGATTGAAGGAATCCTCTTCACCATTTCTGATTGTCGAGAATACGTATTCCAATTGCTTGCAGGAAAAAGAGTATGAATGGTTCATTCGAGTTGAAATCCGGCAAGTGGTCGCCCAACTCAAAGAATTACTGCAGGATTGTCTGTCAAGAATTCCTTCCCATGGCTCGAATCCAGCTGGTTCAGATGATTCTGCAAAGACGGAGAAATACGTACTGGCGTCGACAACTGCCGGTTCAGATTCGCTCAAGTGCATTGTATCTCTCAGTGGGGACAGTGTTGTTCATGCTGTAAGTGAGAATGCTGATGTACGCTCATAATGTCACTTGGTGTTTCTGCGAGGGTTGTCCCAGTCTTGGGAGCGACCTTGGTTATTTCTGAACTATGTATGACTGTGAAGAAAAATTATGAATGATATAGCCCATGATGTGAAGTTCTGGGATTTTTTTTCGGGATTTTAAAAGCATTTTTCAATCTACCGCATAATGATAAGTGAAAACTTTGCAGTTATGGCCAGAGTTCTTCATCCATGTCCCAGCTAGGGTGCTAAAAAATGTTCAGGCCAGCTAAAAAAGTCTAATTTTTTTCATTATCTTTTTTATATTTTAGATAATGGTTATAACGAGAAAGAAATTTAAATTTTCAGCTGACCTGACAAATTTTCAGCACCCTGTGACCCGGGTGGAGAACTCTGGCCGTTACTGAAAAGTTTTCCTCGATCATTCAGTAATTTTAAAATTTCCTGTAAAAATGAAAAAAAAGTCCCAGAACTTCAGAACATTATTGGTTACTTGTGATGCTTCGTGATCATTTTATCGTCATGTTAATTTTACCGAGATGCCCCGTTGATTTTACCGTTGATTTATGTGAAAGATTTCGAAAGATTGTCTTCCGTTATATTTTTCTTTCAGGACTTGACTCTGAAAATCGGCAAGCATCATTCGAGCCCAACAATCCACACCCAGGTGACAGCGGATTCCCCATGGAAATTGCAACAAATGCAGGATGCCAGTAATCACATCAAAACCGTGATAAAGCATCTCGACGACATGGATTTGGATCAGATGTTGTGGTAGGTTTCACCAAAAAAGTTGTGTTATCTTCCGTTTTCATCGAGAGCATTCAATTTCCAGGTCTGGAGAAGAAGTCAACAGTGTATTCACGGTTATCTTGGGGATTTTGAAGTCCGGGAGAACTGCTTTGGTTGTACCGAAAAAGAGAACGATTCAAGAGTTGCTGGACTCCAAGAATGTGGTATGCTGCTCAATTGCATTCTAAATTGTTCCTTTTGATCCAGTGTGAAGTTTTCAAGAAGATAACTGTGCCTTGGAATAAACTTGAATTTCCATTCAAAATGACTTCGCGCACGATATTCAGCAGTCTCGATTCTGCGTCAGCGAATTTTAGAATCATTCGCCCCAGGCCTTATGACGCACCAGTATTCATGGTCTACGAATAATTTATTCAGTTGGCTGTGTTATTTTCCTGAAAAATTACATTTCTCATTGCAGAGTAACTTTTTATATGTTCGATCAATTTTAATTGATCAAGCTGTATACATTTTTGGCGGTAATGATGCGTACATTTGTGGAGATTCCTTCTGGCATTTTCTGTGAATAAATTTCCAGGTCTAGTTAGAAATGTCCCTTGGAGCCTTTTCCTGATGATTTTTAACATGTCGATGACGCATGCTGCTGAATCTTGTAAACTTTTTTAATATTCTGCAGAAATCGTTGGTGCCGCCTTTGCCGGCGGACGTGGCGGTAAGTCTATACTTGCAGTCACATAAGCTAGTCGTGGCGAGCTATCATTTATCTCATCATCATGGACACACCAAATTTGAAATGGTGCAAGCTGAAACTTCTTTGGTCTGGTTGTCCCAAGTTCTAGTCCTCGTTACAACGGCACTCCAGATCTGCCAAAATGTGAAAGATAAGGCAAGTTCTGTATATTTTTTAAAAATTTCGTTCTTGTTCACTTGAATTATATTCCGTGTGTTTTGATTTTTGCTTCTCAGGTCCAAGCATTCACTCAAGATATTGATTTCAACCTTAGACTCAGGAGAGGTTCGTTGATGTGAGATAATCAGGTGCTAACTGTGAATATAGTCATGCATTCATATAGTGAGCTGGAAATCATTCCACTATGCTCATCTTTTATGGGTATTGTGCAGTACCGTTTTTTACGTCACTACGTAGATATCGCATAGTGATTTTTTCTATTCAGGTTTGTTGCATTTGTCCACGTTATAAGTGTCTTTCGTGGAAGCATTTGTTATATGACATCGGTATGTGATTGCACTTGCAATAAAAAAACGTTGAAGAGTGGGATGTCGTTTTTTTGTAAAGAAAAAAGAGCTTTTTACAGTTACAGTATAATGTATTTATGATTTACAGTATAAGATACATTGGAATAAAACATGAGGTGTGTGCAATATACCTGACAGTAATAACTTTACTGGTATCTTTGGACCTTATTGCTAAGTTATTGAACCTAACTAACTCTGGCATTCAAGTACCTCTCTATGCTGAATTTTGGTTCAGTCCTTGTATCCCTTGAAAGAAAATGAAACGTAAGATAATCTTGTATAAATAATTTCCTTATGACAAATTCCTGCTTATATAGTACTAAAAATGTCTTTTTTGGTCTCTGTCCATAGTTAATTTATTTTTCAAACAAGTTGTTGTTTATAATGAAGCTTCTTCCAAGGTCATACCGCAAATGCTTTGTTGTTATGAGATTTTCTTGAATATAATAATCGAAAGATTTCCTTCTTGAAACCTCTTAACTCAAACTTGAAGAGGTATTCAGGCTATTAATTGTTTTGGAGACCAGGAAAAAGAATAAAAAATGACACTATACTGATGCTTTTCAAGTGAGTTACTAAGTGGACAAACTGAGCCTCATTTTCAAGCTCAACCTCCAGTCAATTGCTCATGTATCCTGCACATTTAGAACACAGAAAATCACTAATTCTAACTTACTTGTGTTTCCTTATTTTTCCCAGCAAAAAATGCTGGTTTCCCTTGCTCAAAAACTCTTAATTTTTGGTCCCTTATCTGAGCTCAGCTTTGGTGGCATGGGTTATTGGACTGTTAATTTCATGTACATCACTGCGTATCAGAAGTAAATGGCCTGTTTTCAGCTCAAACCCATACCTTACTGTGATATTCCTTTATATACATCATGCAGTTGTTGTGGTCCTTGGGCCAGTGGCCTTTTTATACTCCGCGTGGAGCCCCAACCATATGAAACACCTCCCATGCAGCAGCATGTCCTGCTGGATGGGGTCTCCATCCAGCTTCTCTTTGAATGGTGTGACAACCAAATGGTTCACATGAGGTTGGTACATTAGCATCATTACTCTGGATCAATAGTAGCAATAATACCAATATAATAAGGTAATTATATTTGTTTAATTATGGAGGAGATATGGGGCGTACTGTATATATATATACTAAAAGTAGAATACAGTATATATTTACTGCCGCAAATAAGTTCAATTATACAGCAGTATGAGATATTGGAAATGATCCTCAATAAAAGAATGATTTTAATATGAAGCAGTTTAAAGGGGAGACAAACAAATTTTTGAAAAATAAGGAATCATGATGCGGAAGCCATGCAAGAGCAGCCCCTTGAAAATGCTGCAGTTTTAAGCAAACCCTGCTGGTGAAAAAATAAATATTACTGCGGGTCTCCTGAGCTGGGATTGCTGTCAGCAAGCGTCAAAAGAACAACTCATATTGCGTGGTTTGGGTTTGGTTATATATAGCCAATCTCTTCATGAACAGCTGATGTAGGATGAAAAGAGACACGATTACAGTACTTTTTCACAATTAGCAATAAATCAATGTATTGTACGAAATGCATTTGCTATATAATTTGCGACGATGTAGCCTTATGAAATTTGAATTTAAGTCGTACTGCATTCCTTTTTGTCACTCATTTTCATCTGCAAGTGTAATTGAAGCTTATACAATCCACATTCTTACTTATAACTGATGGTTGTCCCTATACATATTGAACTATTCCTTTTAACCATTTTTTTTTACTCGAACACTGGTGTATAGGTACACATTTTTTCTGATAGAAAACCAAGGCGTGTGGTTCGCGGGCTGGTATATGGGGTATATTGTATAAATTTTTCAAAAAGGTAGAATTGTTAAATAATTGGTCCGTCGGAATGGCACTATTCCTGATGTAATTCTTCATGTTCTTTCATTTATTCATGAGGATATACACTGTTAAAACTCGTGACTTGCTAAATTAATTTTGCTTTTCAACCAAAAAAAAAAAAATAGGGTGAAGGTCTTATATGCGGGATAGGTTTTGCGGCAAATTTTGTGCTAAAAATTCATGGTACAAACCTACTTAACAAGGGCACGTAGTACTTGCGAAAATAGGGTACTACAACTTCATCGAATCTGTTACAAGTTTTATAAGCCCAAAGAATTGACAAAATTTGCAGAAAAAATATTTTCAATGACGATGACGTGCGTCCCACGTTTTGAGCTTAATTTTTAAGAAAATGCGCGTAGTGTAATTGGAGAAATGAGCACCAAGAATAAATACGGGAATAAGTGAAACATGAGAGATTTTTTACTTCTTGCTACAAATGATGTGGACTCTCTCTACAATGAACTTGTCTACAACAATTTTCTCTAAATAACAAATCTTACTTTGATTCCATGTGGGTGGGATATCTCTCTGCTACAAGGAAATTCTTTCTACAGGGAATATTTTTTGGTCCCTTGCATTTTGTTGTAGAGAGAGATCGAGAGAGTCCACGTGTATTATCTATGCTGGTCATCCATATATGAGGCTTCTCATCCCTGCTTCATCCAGTTCCCCATGCCAGCATTTCATTCTGGCCCTCATATATAGAATATAACCAATGCACAAAAGCAGCTGTGATCTTAGTCACGATGTTGAAGGCTGCAAGGCTGCTGCTTGTGATGCTATGTCGTTTGGCGAGAGGCCGGTCACGGAGTCACACTTCTATTGGGCTGCGCTGATGATGGCGTGGATGCGTTTGTGAGCATGCGCCAGGAACCGGCATCCCTGTTCCATGCGTGAGACCCTCGAGTTGACAGACCGGTTCAGCAGTAGTCGTGCGACGCACTAGCTGCGGAACGGGGCGGGGTGCGTGTCGTCATTGAGACGGGGAGCCTGTGCGCGAGTTTTGATGCCAACTTCTATTTCTATAAGGCGCTATTTCTATTCTCTGCATATGCAACAAGAAAGGAAAAATAATTGAATTCTTCCGCAGTGCTGCTAGAGTAATGCAGAAAAAGCCAGACTACTGCTGTTCATACAGGTAACAGGTGCTACATACGACGGGTGTGAGTTCGCATTTATCGCGGAAAATTGAGGCGCGGGTTCATTATTGTGATGGTACGATGCGCATTTTTGCATATGCGTGCATGCAAGACCTGCTGTCATTCAATTAGATTGGAATAAGTGTGACATTCATACATGGTTGAAGTTATTGGAATCCCTGCATGTGCTGAACACCTACATTGAGTCTCATGTTTTCTCAGCTCCTAAAATATATATACTGCACATGATTATTTTTTCCATGTACTGTATAAAGTACGATAGCTGAAATTTTTGAAACCAAAGTTGAATTAATACAGAACGAGTTTTTTTTATTTCGAATGTGTCTTTTCTGGTGGTCTTTATTGACATGAGTAAATGTTGTTAACGGTGACAGTTTGGTATGAAGAAGATCTAAATTTTCATTTCGGTGGGATGAAATTCAAACTTGAACTTTCCTCCTCAAGGAGGGGAAAACTTTTGCAGGTATGCTGGACTGTATAGAACCAAATAGGAAATCAAAATGCTCAGAGAGCTTTTTCCCGCCAAGTTAATGCAATTTACTCCATTGGAAAAGTCATCAGCAACACTTAGTTCTTTAAAATTTCCAGGTAAATCTGTCACTTATTCATGATGTACAGTACAAATAAAATGGTAACGTGTAGTGTTCAAGCCCTGCTCGTAAAAACAATTCCGTAATCATTTCCTATACGCAATGAGGTACAACGCTAGTATAAATTATTCCTCATGGGTTAAATTGACACTTTTTCACAGATATGATTTCTGGTTCTGCTTGTACTCAGGCTATATTTTTTCCTGCATGAACATTAATTAACATTAATTTTCAGCTTCTGCTGTGGCAATTAAAAAAATCAAAATCGTATATAGCAAACAAAGAATTTTATATAGCAAACAGCATGTTTGCTATATACAGTATACAGTATATCAAATTGCAGTGCAGTATAGTCAAATTTGAGCTATATAGTTTGAAATATGAAATGTCTGGATTTCTTATTAGTTACTACTTTTAATTTTCCTTTCTATGAATAATTCAATCTTCATTCGTGCATTTTCTTCCTCTGAAGTGTGCAGATTGAGAATCACTGCTGCTCGCAAACAATGCCCAGTTGCCCGACATTTTTACTGCAGAAGTATAGCCGTGTTTCTTTAATTGAGTCCATATATACAGTATATCGAGACATAAAATGGTAACGTGTAGTGTTCAAGCCCTGCTCGTAAAAACAATTCCGTAATCATTTCCTATACGCAATGAGGTACAACGCTAGTATAAATTATTCCTCATGGGTTAAATTGACACTTTTTCACAGACATGATTTCTGGTTCTGCTTGTACTCAGGCTATATTTTTTCCTGCATGAACATTAATTAACATTAATTTTCAGCTTCTGCTGTGGCTATTAAAAAAATCAAAATCGTATATAGCAAACAAAGAATTTTATATAGCAAACAGCATGTTTGCTATATACAGTATACAGTATATCAAATTGCAGTGCAGTATAGTCAAATTTGAGCTATACAGTTTGAAATATGAAATGTCTGGATTTCTTATTAGTTACTACTTTTAATTTTCCTTTCTATGAATAATTCAATCTTCATTCGTGCATTTTATTCCTCTGAAGTGTGCAGATTGAGAATCACTGCTGCTCGCAAACAATGCCCAGTTGCCCGACATTTTTACTGCAGAAGTATAGCCGTGTTTCTTTAATTGAGTCCATATATCCAGTATATCGAGACANTCTATGAATAATTCAATCTTCATTCGTGCATTTTCTTCCTCTGAAGTGTGCAGATTGAGAATCACTGCTGCTCGCAAACAATGCCCAGTTGCCCGACATTTTTACTGCAGAAGTATAGCCGTGTTTCTTTAATTGAGTCCATATATACAGTATATCGAGACAAGAAAATAGTGCACACTTACATCGATCTTATTTCTATAATCTCGATGTCATGACGAAGTATCGTTTATAGAGCAAATTAATTTTTTTAATCCCTCGAGCAGCATGTAGCCATGGTGGTTATTTGAGGCTCTTCATAAATAGAAAAAATGTCTGTACAGTATGTGACAAAGGTTTTTTTTTAATATGTGCCAAAACAATATTTTGTGACAAGATTTTTATGCTGCGTAACAAAATCGTTGTCTAACATTCTAAGAGAAACCGAAATTGCTGTTCCTTGCGCCCGAAAAAATGTATCGCTGCAGAATGCATGGCTCGGAACGATAATAAAGGAGAAAAAATTAAATAGCTTTGTGGAGATCATGTGGAACTTGAAGTTGTACATGGTGAACTGTCACGACTACGTGAGCACAAATCTGGCAACACCGGGAAATGCGGGAGAACCGGCGGCAATCCCACGTGCTTATTTCTGGGGGAAGCCCACCGCGCATGATCTTGATGCGTCCTGTCGCTGAGGGAGAGTGTCCACGGGTGGTGTACGAGAGCAGAATGGTCTGGAATACGAGTTACAATCATTTTGATTGCTAGTGCAGTTTCGCGGTAGAGTTTAAGTGGCATCTTGATATCACACGGACGTGTGCAGCGAAACATCAGCTTTCAATCATAATACTGTGATTCGATTTTCAGTACTGTGTGGAAACAAAATGTTTCGGTACTGTACATTATATCCGAAATCACAGAAGATCTAGAGAGTTTTCACGTTAGCCTTGTGGAGGGTAGTGAACTCCGTGCTATTTAGTGTTCATGAAGACTTGGATTCTCTCTCGAACGTGTGAACTGGTGTGTACGTGCTTACAGACATGTTTCAATTATCTGCTCATGTCGAACCGTGTTGGTGGTGCTCTGCTTGATAACGGGGTTCCTTGAAGAAATAATCCGTCCTGTGGAAGATACAGTACTACATTCCTGAGCGTTGGTTGTGATGCATTTAAATGATCATGCTCGCATGTAAGACAGCAGCGATTGGATTCGCGTTCCGAAAAAGGATTTTGTAAGACACGATTCCGCCGCTTGCTTCGAGGGGACGCGCCGAAGTAATTTTAGGTTTTCGACTGTCCAGGTTATTCTCGCGGGAAGTATTCGCTTTTCCGGTTCTTCACGAACTCGATCGTATTGTGATCCGTTCCTGTGCTAGCGCCACCGCAGTCAAAATGCCGATCCAGCGCGTTAAAGCTCGCATGATCTTCGACTCTCGTGGTAATCCGACTGTTGAGGTTGACCTTGTTACTGAAAAGGGGCTTTTCCGTGCGGCCGTTCCTTCTGGTGCTTCCACTGGTATCTATGAAGCTCTGGAAATGAGGGATGAGGTCAAGAGCGACTACCACGGGAAAGGTGTATTCAACGCCATCAAGAACGTGAACGAAGTCATCGCTCCTGCTCTGGTTGCAAGGGTATGCTTCCTCATCGTTTTGTTTTTGCCTCGGAAAGCGTGCTTCGAATTTCACGTCCACTACCATGTTCGTCGTAGTTTGTTGCGTTCTGGATAGCTTGATTTACCGCGTCTCTAGCTTACCAGTTCCAAAAAGGAGCTGGTAAAAGTATGAGGGTGTGATTGTGTTGGCAGAGGAGCATCAACGGGACTATAGGAAAAGATGTGTGGGAAGATGAAATGTACTTTTTTAATTGCTTCGTATTTATTACTTACTAGAAGCTGTCAAGAATGTTCTTCGTGATTTTTTTTTTGACTGTACGTCGAATGATTTCCGAACTCCGGACGGACGATAAAATGAAAAATGTAGGCACTGTATTTGGGAGACTTAACTCTGATTTTATCTTTTTAGAACATGGACCCTACGGATCAGGAGAAAATCGATCAGTTTATGTTGGATTTGGATGGAACTGAGAACAAGGCCAAGCTTGGAGCAAATGCAATCCTTGGGGTGTCTCTGGCTGCGTGCAAGGCTGGTGCTGTGCACAAGGGACTGCCTCTGTACAAATACATCGCTGAACTGGCTGGAAACAAGGACATCATTCTCCCTGTTCCGGCTTTCAATGTGATCAACGGTGGATCACACGCCGGCAACAAACTGGCCATGCAGGAATTCATGATTCTGCCCACCGGTAATTTGCTTTCATTGTAGCTAAATTCATTCGTACTACCTTGGCGGTCGGTTATAAGTGGGTGTCGACTTTAATCTAGGTGGCTTTTACTGCATGTTCATTTCAGATGTACACTGTGAGATTGTATTCATTGAGAACTACGTTATGCGTAGAATCATCTTGTGATCTTGGTTTTATAGCATGACAGAACTCGAAGGTGGAAATTCAATTCCATTTGACCAGCTTTAAGAAATGGGATTGGCCATAAGTTACTCGGTAATTTCTCTGTTATCGTATTTTTCTTCGATTGTTCAGACATTGGCCACCTTGAAAAAATAAATAAATGCGTTTAACATAACGCAAGAAATATGGTCTATCCAGGACAAGTTTCTGTATTGTTCATGCTGCTCCACAAAACTTGTTCTGATCGCTTGCTTGAAGGGAATTACTGCAATTTCAGGTTGTCTGAAACACTAGTTCCATGATTAAGTTAAAAAGTAATCTTTTCCCTTCTGCTTTTCTCATTTAGAGCATTCGTTTTTCGGTGAACCCATTTTTTCGTTAAACTCGAATCTCCACCTGTATCAGGATTGGATGTGGATCATTTGCACAGGTTTTAGTTCGGGACATAAATCGTGCTTCGATTTATCATTCTGAAAGCCATAAAACTGACACAGTACTACGGAGATAAGAAAGCAGAGTTGATGGGGTGGTGCGAATTCATCTGTATACTGGAGTAACTTGACTGTTCTTTGATATCAACATGATCGACAGCCTGAGTAAATATTTGAGTTTAAGTAAGCGAGAACAATGAGGCTATCCAAAGAGAAATATTTTTAAAATCATGAAATGAATCTGTGTCATGAGAATTACTTACGAAGATGGGACCTCACGAACGATGTCCAATTCTGAACTTGAAACCCAATAAAGCGGAATTTAAGTTGAAATTTGGACTCTCTCCAGATTGAATAAGCAGAATTACGTGGTGGAAAAAGCTTCACACAAATCGAATGTTCAGAAGAAAATGTATGTTCAATTTAGATCTTTTCTGCTACTTGCGAATGATTGATTTAAATAATCTGCGACATATTGCATCTTCTTTCAGATTCGGGATGAACTGGCAAAAATAGAACCTTATTTATTTATAAACAAAGAATGGGTGAATTACCTTGAAAGAAAATAGCTAACCCTAATTTAGCATATACTGTTATATAATTTCTACAATCGTTTGCCTGGATTACTATGTAAATTAAAGTAACGAGTTTAGCGATTCGAACTGTCCTTTCTTTGTAGCACGCTTCAAGTAGAGGAATTCCTGTTGGTGATACGCAAAATTCGTATCAACATTAACTGTAGATAAGATGGTTACGGGTTGAGTTTATTTCGGTCCTTGTCACACATCGTACTTCAGGCCTCTTCCTTTCGATGTGTTTAATCAGAAAGTTCAGACTTGCTTTAGTCGGTCGACCAAGTATTATTGCGATGTGCCGTCAGATCCGGGTATACAGTCACTCCCAGTTGCTGACACGGTCTATCAGAGTACCGAACTTGTTTTCGTTATCTTCCAAGGTGCGAGCAGCTTTTCTGAAGCCATGAAGATGGGTACGGAAGTGTACCACCATCTAAAGAAGGTCATCAAGGACAGGTTCGGTCTGGATGCCACCGCTGTTGGTGATGAGGGCGGCTTTGCTCCCAACATCCTCAACAATAAGGATGGTACGTTTCTTCGTGCTCAGTATTTCTCGTAGATGTTGGCCAAACCCAAAAGTTTTTCTGTTCTACTCCAGCACTGGAATTGATCTCCGAAGCTATCCGCAAAGCTGGATATGAAGGAAAGATTGAGATTGGCATGGATGTTGCTGCGTCGGAATTCCATAAGTAGGTGTTCCTGTAGAACTTGTTTGAATTCGTCCTGAGAGGAATATTATTTGAAGGAACGGGAAGTACGATTTGGATTTCAAGAATCCCGCTAGTGATCCGAATGCATTCTTGGCGCCGGACAAGTTGGCGGCTCTCTACCAAGAATTCATCAAGGAATTTCCGATCGTCTCCATTGAAGATCCCTTTGACCAAGACCATTGGGATGCCTGGACTGCTTTCACTGCCTCAACCAAGATCCAGGTACAGAATTTCAAATCGTTATTTTGTAATCTTACGAAAATCTGAAGTTTGAACAGAGAACTTACCTTTTTGCTTCACCCAGATTGTCGGCGATGACTTGACGGTGACAAACCCGAAGCGAATTGCTTCCGCCATTGAGAAGAAGGCTTGCAATTGCTTGCTGCTTAAAGTGAACCAGATTGGCACAGTCACCGAATCGATCAGAGCGCATAAGGACGCCAAGGCCGCAGGTTGGGGAACCATGGTCTCTCATCGTTCCGGTGAAACTGAAGACGCATTCATTGGTGATCTTGTTGTCGGACTCTCAACTGGTCAGGTGAGAATACTTTCGAAGTTAACCTACGTTTTAAGAATCATTCTTGTTTTCATGGATAACTCGCATTACCTTTTTTCTGTTTATTGTAGATCAAAACTGGTGCCCCGTGCAGATCAGAGCGTTTGGCGAAGTATAACCAGATTCTCCGCATTGAAGAAGAGCTGGGCGGCAACGCGAAGTATGCCGGCAAGAATTTCCGTCACCCATCTTAAATTGGCGATTCGTCTGCGGAGTACTCAATTTCTGAGCCCAGAATTTCACATTCACGTTATTAGTTATATTTGAGTCCGTCTTTGTGGAAGCAGTCATTGCGCAGAAAAATCCAGGATCATAACACGTGTAAGGGTCACACGATTTCTGCATTCAGAAAGGCGTATGAGTGCATGATGGTTTCTAATCGTACAGTGAGTGCAATCTCATGGCTGTTTGTTGAGGTTTACAAGTGGCTTTGAAATATGTTCTACTCCGGCGGTCGATATGAATTCTGTGCAATACATGTAGTGATTGTCTTACCTGGCCTCTGTTCCTGTGCTACCTATTTTTTGTTCTGCTTACGTGATCGCATTAGATTCATAATCCCTGTGCAATGTAAGGAAATTGAAAATAAAGGCGTCTACTATTCAGCGTCTCTCGAAAACGTTACTACTCATTTATGAAGATGCATTCAAATTCATCCGCGGTATGGAAGTCTACTTCGAAGGACTGGCCCTTTCGAAACGGCAGAATTTAAATAACCTCTGCTAATGACCGATATCCTTTGCTTGGGTAATCAAACGGAGTAATACGGATGATCACTACATTTCTTGCATTGAGATTTTGTGATCCCTCATATGACTGAAATTTTCAAAGATTCAGTAGTGATGCAGCCAAAAATAAGGTGGACCCCTTTATAATCCCAGGTACATCTAGTAGCTGTGACTTGGAAATACAGTATGTATTGTAGGCTGCTTCAATTTTATTCAATTTTTCGAATATGGTTAACTGACCAGGCCCGTAAATTAAACGTACAGTTTAATGTTGTTAATCCAGTCTACTGTACCGAGTACAGTACATTACTAGAGTACATATTATTGTATCTCAACCTCACGACTGGGGTGCAGTGGCGATGAGTTTCGCCGTCGAAGAGTTCTGCTCTGGCGAAAAGAGGTCCACGAGATCATCTACGACGGAGGATGAACAAGCTCTGTTTTAGACACATGGCTGCTCGCATGTAAATCATCACGAGACGTGGGTGGATTTGTTGAATTGAAAAGTCGAACTTCGGTGGTTGACGTTTGCGACTGAAACTGTTTTCGTTCGAGTTCTACTCGGTTGCTGATTGTATTCGTTGACCACCAGTGCTTCAGGTGTATTCAAATTAATTTTATAGCATGTAGAACAGGACACTTTCTGCATCAGGAGACTACTTTTTATCAAATACAGGCCAGCAGTTTTAAAAGACAGTATATTGGCCTGTTTTCATTGGAATGAGATTTTGACAAGAAGCCAATTCAAACAATGGTAGAATTTTTGACAGTCACAATAGTCCTGTGACACCACCAGCGCACCATAAACTCAAATCCTCAAGTCTGTCACTAGTGTGCGTGAAGGAGAGAGTGATGAGAATAGGGAGTGAGGAGATGGGGGGTGCAGTGGCCTAGAGTTTGGCCGACCAAGAGTTCTGCTCCGGCGAGAAACTACACCACCGGCGAAAAGAGGTCCACGAGATCATCGTGAATCTACGACGGAGGATGAACAAGCTCTGTTTTAGACACATGGCTGCTCGCATGTAAATCATCACGAGACGTGGGTGGATTTGTTGAAGTGAAAAGTCGAACTTCGGTGGTTGACGTTTGCGACTGAAACTGTTTTCGTTCGAGTTCTACTCGGTTGCTGATTGTATTCGTTGACCACCAGTGCTTCAGGTGTATTCAAATTAATTTTATAGCATGTTTGGGTTCGTATAAGCTCGAGTGAGGAACTTGAAACGTGCCTTAGTGCGGACCTGGCGCACCACACCGGTGGTATCATTACATTATTTACATCAATAGCTACCCGTACAGTATCTCAATTTTCTGAAGAGTTAATGATGTGCGAAATCTTGTGAAATTGAAAAATTTTATCGAGGAGCACCATCTCGCAGAAGAAAAAAGACAGCCGTGTTCGGTTCACCTATCGTAGTTGAAATCGTAATTTTTGTTTCAGTGCGATGTATAGCGACTAATCTGTTCCTCAATTTTGTTATTGATTCTGGTTTTAAATTATAGTGCTGTACTGCTACTGCCCGAAGTGAATAAATGTGAACTCCGTGGTGTTTTCCGACAACCCCCAACTTCACTCGCACTGTGGCGTTGCGAATCGATGGCGTTAAGTGGCTTTGTTGAATTTTTCCAGAAAGGAAAAGTGAGCATAGTTTTGTTCAAAAGGAACTGAAACTAGGGTTGTTCTTTATGCGTTCATTTTTATTTCAGACCTTTAAGCCCAGGAAGAAGTTTGAGCCTGGGACTTGGAAATATTCTCTCCATAAACAAGCAGAGGCTTCCCTTCATTCGGGGATCAACTTGAGAAATGCTGTGAAACTTCCTCCCGGTGAAGATTTTAACGATTGGTTGGCTGTGCATGGTTAGTTTACTTTAATTGAGGATTCTGGCGTATTTTTTCCTGTTTCTGAGAGTCTGACGTCTTGCAGTTGTGGACTTCTTCAATCGAATTAACCTGATATATGGAACGATATGTGACAGCTGCACGGAGTTGTCGTGTCCAAAAATGTCGGGTGGAGCAAAATTTGAGTACCTGTGGTGTGATGGCCAAAAATATAAGAAACCCACTCCGCTTCCAGCGCCGCAATATATTTCATCTCTTGTGGATTGGGCAGAAGCTCAAATCAACGATGAGGCGTTGTTTCCCGTCAAAGTTGACGTACCGTTTCCCAAAACGTTCCAGTCGCTCTGCAAAAAAATATTGACGCGGCTCTTCCGTATTTTTGTGCACGTCTATATTCACCACTTCGACAGGATATATGCAATTGGCGCGGTGAGCAAACCTTTTTTTTTAATCTTGAAGTCTTCTTTTCCAAGAAACTATTCAATGAAAATCGGTTGCATTGTTGAAATCATTTTTTTATTTGTGAAAGGCTAGCCTCATATAATCCCCGTTAAGGGGATGTGCAAAGTTAACCTGTTGATTAGGTTATGAACAGCATTTTTATGCAGAAGCATTGCTCATGTACTCCGGGGCAACAGGTTCTCGAGATCCTGTATTAGTCAACAGACTGGGGCAAAAAATCTCTGCGAAGTTGTGAACCTATAACAGAAAAGTGTACAGAACGAATGCAAGCTTCTTTTAATCTCGTATAAATGCTCCCCTCCAAATATCACATCTTTTTGCGGCCTATAGCTCCATTGTTCCTGTTCTACATTTACTGAATGTATCGCGTAACTGAACTCTTGTAATATCAGCTTTTACTTTTGTTACAGGAAGCTCATGTGAACACATGCTACAAGCACTTTTACTACTTTGTGATGGAGTTTGAATTGCTTAGTCAGAAGGAGCTGGAACCTCTGAAGGAGTTGACTGCGAAAATTTGCAGGGATACCTACGACCCAGCCTTAGGACCTACGGGTCCTGTGCAAATGAATGCACATCCCTGAAATGATCAATTTTGCGCGCATTTTTCGTTAATGCACGTTGCAATCACCGAATTCTACCTAGATGCAAATTTGATGGCTTTTGAGTTTTGCTTATGTGCTTATTACATTTTTTTTACAGAGGAAATTTAATAGGGATCTTTGCGCTTCTTTCGAATCTTACTTCTCGGAAGTCCTGTGTTGTCGATGATGGTTTTTTTTTCTCGTTCAAGTGTCACTGATGATCAAATCCAAAACGTAACTGAATGAAGAATTGATTTCTGCGAGAAAAGAAAATTATTTTCTTTGCCACCATCGAGCACGGATACCCGAACCGAGCAATATGAGTCTTCGAGTGAAGACGTGTTCATCGAATTTCCAAGAATATTTTTCCGTCTAAGAAGCTTTACAAGGTTCAGTCTTGTGAGATTCGCGCCTGAATTCCGAGATTTCCATCAATGGGTACACCAAAATACTCTTGGTAGCCTCCATACTTCTCTGTGTCCTTCTTATTCACCCCCTCCCTTCTCGGTCCGCCGAATTACTGGGCTACTGGTCCCTATCCTCTCCTCGCCTCTCCTTCGGGAGGCGGTGTTATTCTGCTCTCCTCCTTGCGCATGCCACGTCATCCGCCAACCATGGCAGGATCAAGTATAATGGCGCAGTGAGCAAATAAGACAGGGGAGTTACGCTACTTCTGTGAAATTTCGGCTTCCATGCGATGAAGAGGGGCAATCAGAAAGCCAAGTCCAAGACAGATGGTTTGGAAGAGGAAGAAATCCTTGCTAGAACTCATTCTCAGGAAGTGAGGCTACTGGAGGATCATTACGCTATTTGCCGCCGAGTGTGCAATGCGCCTGATGATCGCCCACGGAAGACAGTGCGAGTTAATCCAAGAGCGGTAGTCATTAATGACATCCCTGTTCGTTCATTGGAACAGCGTAACGAACCGCGGCGATCCATTTTGAAAAGTGCGACGATGGAGGAACAAAGGAATGCTTTTAAGCATTCCAGAGAAGACCCGCGGACTGCTGCAAGACGTCTTCGATCTGTGTATCTACGTGACGCTGCGACACAAATGACTCCGCCGCATTCGTTGATGACGCTGCGAACGGATGTGTCCAATTATCCCGCTGATGAAACTCGAACGAAGTTCTCTGGGGAAGATGATGAAACCACAGCAGCGGATGTTGAGACTTTGACGTGTGAGTCGACCCGGTTGCGGATCTCGCCGACTCGAAGATCCTGGCTATGTCCACCTTCGACATCGAGTTCAGCGTCGACCGTCCCTATGAGCTCTATCACACAGTCGAATGCGAGGCCTCGGACTAGTTCTGAGAGTGACACCAATACGAAGCAGAAAACTGTAGGTTTTGGAAGCTCCGTTGCGGAAATGCAAGTGCCAGATAAGACAGCTGTACCTGCGGTTGCGAGCTCTGTGCTAAATGCATTTGCTTCGTCCAATGCTCGGTGAGTGCTTGTGTTGGACGTGAACCGAAGATAATGTACTTGCAATGACATTTAGTGCAAAATCTTGCACTTCCGATTCTTCGTTCTTGTCAAATTCAATTAGTGGCGAGTTTTTTTTCTTTCTTCAACAACTTTAAAAGGAAATTTCATTTTTCCCAGGTCACGAAACCTGGGACATGCTATGCACGCCCAAACTGGATATCAATATCGAAATCAAGCATGAGTCTCGTCTGTAGTTACTTTTAAGTTCAATTTATCCAGAGCTTTGAAAAAAAATTTTCATCGGATATTATCTGCCTCGGATATAAAGACATGTTGGTGACGAAGACTCATGTTGAGTAGATATCTGCGTGCTCATAGGATAAAATTGATAATATATGTTTATGCAGTATCGAGATTCAGGATTGGTGTTCGATTTATGTCACTAAATGATCTTGCCAATTAATGGTTTTGTGAATAATTCGGGCAGAATGCGTTTGAACATTGTTTCCAATGCTATTTTCAGGGAAGATTTGCTTTTTAAACTAAATAGGCCCTTGAATAAATGTGTTCAAATTCTGTTGAAAACAATTGCTGAATCGCTCATCTTTTTCTGTGCAGATTCCAAGCTCCCACGACTCCTGTGGCACAAGGCTTCCATTCGGGCGCTGCCGGTGTAAATTATAATCAGCTGATCTCTAGTGCTGCCACTGCGGCTGCTGTGCATCGTTTGACTCAGCAGCAATTGCAACAGGACATGCTTCAGCAACCGGGTAGAGCCAACTGCAAAGATATCCTTCAGTCATTTTTCCAGAAGAATTGGGCGTCGAATGCGAAGCCGGAGAAATTAGCGGGATTCCCGAATGTGTCTGCCACGAACGAAGTTGCGACGAATGCCCAGGGAGACTTTTCTCAAAGCGTGTCCGAAAATACGAGCAAAGATATCTCGAACATGTCGAGTAAAAGCTCGAAAACCCTCGACTGGTGTGTGTCGGAAATGTCTTCGAGAAACAAGACGAAACTGGAATTCCCACTGCTCGGAGAGGGGCAGCAGTGGGGAAATCCGAGGCTAACTTGTTGCGGGAACAGTTCTTCCTTTTTGGTCCCGAAGCGCACGAGAAGTAGGCAGAAGACTGTGGAAATTCCGAACGAAGAAACTAAGATGAAACCAACCACTGAAGAACTTATGAACGCTATTGTGAGTGCGCAACGAGCGAGTGACATTCTTGGCAGAGCTGGAATTGACGTCTCCTCGTGCGACTGGAATTGGCTTCAGAATATCCCTTCTACAGTTGAGTCTGCATGAACCCTCTGTGGTACTTGGTAATAGTGTGTGGCTTTCAAATGCACACCTCGTCTTACAACGAAACAACGCTTTCGGGAATGAATTTCAGGCCCTGCCTTCATTCAATTTTTTCTAAAGAAACTGCTTTTCGTATCCAAAATTTCAAATGCTGGTTCTTATATATCACCAACTTTCATAATACACACTTTCAATAACTCACCAATCATAATACAGTACTCAATTTCGACAGAATCTATGATTAAAATATTTTTAATTTTGCCAATTGCCAATAATTTCGCACAAGACGTAGCAAAAATTAAAAAAGATTAAAGATTTAGAAATTATTAATCACATTTAATTAACAATACAGTGCTGTGTCTACTGGTTGTCGAAAAAAGCCACTAATCCTCACCTTTCCTTGTTTACGAAACCATCAATTTTCGATTTACTCCTGAGACTACGAAAATTAAGATAAGCGAATGTGGTTTGATATAATTACGCTGTTTAATTACACCTAGTGTAAATGAATTGGGTTCAGAGACGTTTAATGTTCAATGAAATTACGGTAATCCTCCCTGATTCACATATCCTCCATCCAGTTGAAGGATGAGGAAAAACTCGTCAAGTTACTTCTGGATTTCAAAAACGCAAAAGACGATGCCTTAAGTCAAGCTGTTGCGTCTGAAAAGAAGCACGACAATTCGTGTAGCTCGAAACACTCAGCTACTCAATGGGCTGCTCAATCACCTCAAGCAGTTCTCAACAGCGCCCGAGATGAGCCAAACCAGACACAAAGTGCGGACTCCTTGCTGACTCTGTTCCCTGCTCAAAACCACCGCGAAAGTTCGCAGTTCTCGCAGAAACCTGTTCATCAGACGAATCAGTCGAGATCCGTCGATCCGACAAACTTGTATTTCGCGAATTTACCCAAAAATGTACGGGATTGTGACTTGATTCGTCTAGTCGAAGAATTTGGTCCTGTAGTCTCCGCAAAGCTGATGGAAAATCCTGCATTGAAAGTCAAGGGAGTGGGCTTTGTGAGGTGAGATTCTCAAATGCGAACTGAAATTACTGTTGAGTGACTCCATTGATACGCGACAAAGCTTATCCTACTCGTCAAACTAAACTGAAAAATCTATAAATGCTTGTTCACGAGGTTATTTGCAGAATACATAAAGTAATGGAAATTCTGTTTCACTTGGGTGTCACCTTTACATTTTCTAGTTCAGATTTCGGTTCAACTTCATATCATGCCTCGTAAATCTTGAGAGAAAGATGCTGAATGAATACCAGCGGTTTTTCTGTAATGAATACAAGTGAGCCACCCGTATTCATTCTACGAGACGCAGTTGGATTTTAAAGAAGCCAGTGAATTTTTAATAAAAAAATAAGTCTTATGCCGCATTAGTTATAAATCGCTTCATGGAAAAAAATCTCTTAAAGCTTAACTGATCTGTTGTAGGATGAAGTTTCAACAAGATTGCGATAGAGTAATCAAGGCTTTCAATGGGAAAACCTTCCCTGGGACTAAGAAGATTTTGTCCGTGAAATTGGCATGGAAATCAAAGGATACCGACAACGCGAGCGTGTCAAGCTTGTACACACCAATGGACTACAACATGCAGCATTATAAGTCATTTTTCGGCTCGCAACCGTATCCCAATAATGGTGCCGGCGATCCTCGCATGGGGCCGTGGTCTCTCAGCGATGTCTATCAACCCCACGGTGTCCCGAGAACGTATCCCTTTTACGCATCGGGAATGTCCAACTCTGTGGGATCCGCGGGTGTTTGGGTTCCCGCGAAAGATCAAGCCGAGTATCTTCAGTGGTCGCCGGGTTCTGCGTATGTTCCGAATTACAATCCCGCGCAGCAGAATATTGAGTATGCCGTGTTACCCGGAGCTGATGTTGGCGATGGATCATGGGGTCTTTGGGGTATGGAACCTAACTATCACGCGGAACAGGGATATTTTTCTTCGCAAGGAGTTCCTCAAAACGTTCCTAGAGAGCAATCAGACTTTGATCCTGCTGTGTATCAGAGTCAGAGTGGATTTCCTGCAGGCTTTCCCCATCATGCTTATTATCCTTTGTCCGCCTCCGCGGGATATTTCGGATTGAAACCTCCTGTATCTTCGACTAACTTTTCTGGTAATCCAGGCGGTAATGCATTCTATCAAACTGCGAAGCTTCAAAAACCGTTCATGTATGCGAATGGGATGTACAACGGTAGACCCAGTGAAAGCTATTTTCGTTTGAGAGAAAGAGACGAAAATTTACGCGAGGCGCTTCAGATCAAGCAGGACAGCTCAGACAATTGTGACACCTACGCGATGGACGTGTCTGAAAATGACGTTGATAAGACTGTCGGGAAGCAAGCAAGTAATGACAAAATGAAGTTTGTGTCTGCTCAAGCCGATAAGCATGTTGATGGAGGTCCCGCTGCACGTAGTCCTCATACGATTTCTATGAAAAAACCCGGGGTTCATTCTCAGTTGGATTCAACTTGGAGAAGTAGTGGAGATGGGCCTCGAAGACAAGGCCCGGGACTTGAAAAGCAAGAAAGCAATTATCCTCAAATGAGTGCTGCTGCCGCGAACAATAGTGAAACTAGTCAAAAATCGTTTTCAAGGTGCGTATGTGATGGTGCATTTTTTTCAGTGTAAGCTACTCTTTCACATCGAATTACTGTTGGCTACACTGAGTGCGTGAACTAATCCTTTTTACGAGCGCTGGTTCAAAAGTTTTGGAAGTCGTAGTATTTCCCCATATACTGGATGCACTATGGTGCGCAGAAGTGGACTAAATTCTTAGTTCTGTCACTAAATATTTTTTGACCGCTTATTTTTGGCTCAGTGAGCGGAACCGGCTCCACCTTATTAAAGGTTAGCACGTTATATTGTCATTCATTGTTTCGCTTCCGGGATGAATGCTTATACGTGCGATATGGCGAAGTTTACACGTCAGTGCTGAAAAAAATAGTAATTCTTGACGTCGAGGTTTGCTCATGTTATGGTATTAATCCCGAAATAGTTCTAGGGATCGTGATTTGAATCCTTGCCTATATGAAGAACTTTCTGTCAAAGCTTTGATTAACTGATGCTACAGCCCTGTGAACTATGTGCTTAGAACATGACAAACGGATGACTTATCTCGGCCGGCTGACGGGAGCAGCTTCGACGTAGAATACTGTATTTATCTCTCGAAAACCTGTTAAACGAATCTTCAGGAATTCTCAGAAGTCAGAAAAAATATATAAAGTTAAAAATTTAGAAAAGTAAGGATTTCAGGGATCCATTTGAACATGGATTTGAAATTTTTGCGCGAGGAGATAAAATCATATGTACAGTCTGAATTGTTTGAAGTGAAGCCCCTGGGTTTGATGAGATTTAGTTACGTAGCAGGTAGCGTGTCGATATTTATTGGTTCGCGTCGTTAATGACTAGCACGCGAAACCACAGCGGAGATTTGTGTCCCTCCACTACAACAATGCCTGAATCGGATTCCAGCAGAATTCAGGACAAACCAGGGCTGCTACAGGAAGTCAATCAGCGGTTCCTGCAAGAGAGCGATGAAAAGGCGCAAGGTGATGTTTTGAGGAATTTGAATAAAACTCATCGCCGAGATGGAAGCGATGGTGGTGCCGCAGCAGGAACTTTGACCGCTGCGTAGAGGCACGATTCACGCTGGAGAGTGCAATTAACTTTTGTTGTGTACCAGCGGGCCAGGTACATGCAGGGGAAGAATTCATGTGATCTGTGTTATTTCTACGTGATTTATTCAGTTTTAATTTTATTTCTTGTGTTTTAACTGTTCTGTTGAATAAAACTCTTGGGAATGTCAAGCGAGTTGAACTCTAGCTCACTGTTTTTTTTTACAAAGAAAACTCTGTCTGAAGATTAAAAAATCTGTCCATTGCAGAATATTGAAGCCATTTCCTTGCTGCAGCAGAATTTGTCACCATTAACCCAGCTTCAGCACAAACTGAGAAAAAACCATTGCCTGATCAGATAAGTGTTCCTGTGTCTTTGATATAATATTTGTAAGTGGTAAATAATATATCTGGGGTTATTTCTTTTGATCATAGGTGAAAGGGAAAGTGGGTCAAAATACAAATATACTGTACTTTTTTTTCCTCATGTTGCTAATGTTAAATTTTTTTATGTGACCAAGGTACTGTGGGGGATGATAGTTAAGGCAAATTTCCATTTAAGTAAAAAAAATAGCCACTGCTGTCGATTTTTATCCTTAAGTTGTGCAGTATTTATACTATGCATCAACCATCTGCTGTTCCCAGCACTCACCTTTGTACATACAGGGTGTGCCAGAAAAGTGAACTGATTTGTTTTGAAATAGCTTGGTAGCAAATTGAGCTGTGGCTATGATAAAACACAAAATGAAAGCTTGTTCAATTCTTTGAAGTGCTATATAGTTTTATGGTCCCAAGTGCCAGAGAATTGTCAAAAGAACCATTTGAATGAGAACATGAGAAGTTGTCAGGCAAATTTTCCACTAAGCTGCTGTTCTGGAGAGCTGTTGGCATGAATAAAGGAAATGCAGGTTGCAATTTTGAGTGAATCTAGTTTTTAGCAATCTATTCATGCAAATAATTCCATACTGTGGGTCAACTGGAGCTGTAAGGCAAGCACCAATGCTGCCGGTATGAATGACAGTGGAGCCCTGCAACATCCTATCTTGCCAATATTCTTCCCCCTTCTCACCCCCTCCTGAATTTGGGAATGTGTGCTGGGGCTCTCCATACCCTCCAATAAGACAGCATGAAGCTTTCTGGTTAAATTGTTGAAACTGGCATTTCCTTTATTCATGCAAACAGCAATAGTTCTCCAGAACAGCATATTTTGAAAGTAATCATTTTCTGTGTGACCAATCCGTGGCACTGGTGACCATAAAACTATATACACACAAAGATAATTGAACAAGCTTTCATTTGGTGTTTTTTCATTCCCACAGCTCAATTGAGCTGTTTGTAGCACCTTATTAAGCTGCTACCAAGCTATTTCTAGTTAAAAATTCAGTTCACTTTTTTGACTGACCAAAATTACACATTTTTTATACTGCGCATGAAAAATTTTAGTAATGCCCAAAATCCAGGTTTTCCTGAATTCCTGCAATTCTTTTAGACACCCATGTGACAATTTCTATTTGAAGCCTGGTAAGGTATTATTTTCAATAAAAATGTGTGTGGGTATATAGTTTCAGATATACAGTGAAGTTGAACCCCCTTAAACCACCCCTGATTAACTGCCACCCTTGCTTCCCACCATTTTTTCCTCCCAAACAAATCTCAAGCTTGAAGGGATGGAAAAGCCCTGTTTATCTGCCAACCTCAAATGTTTTTGCCAAACAAACAGGATCTTGGCACTGTTTTTTACCCTGATTAACCGCCAATTTTTGGCTCCTCTCTTCAAAGCTTTATATTTCTGGTAATATTTTTTAAAATTATTTGTTTTCTCAATTTAAAAATGCAAAGAACAAGAGATTTATGTCCCCACAAAAAAAGAATGAAGAGTCATCTTCACCAAAAGCAGGATGGGCAGGGATATAGAGGTTGAAACATTTAAAAAAAATATCAAATACACTTACTCATTAAATACTGCGGCAACCCCTCCCTTGTTAAACCGCCAAATACCAAAATTCTGCTGCACAAAGGTTGGCGGTTTAACAGGGGTTGACTACTATATACATGTACTGTACTGTCTTAATGTATCCACATTGAGCTGCATGAAGGATATTTTCCTTTTCCTAGAGTTGAGAACTGCTGGTGGAAGGGGTTGCCAACAAAGGTATGTAACTCAAAATTGGGTATGTAGGGTAGAGTTTTGTAAAATTGGTGGAACTACAGATTTTTCAGTTGTTTCCCCCCTCCCCCTTGTGACATCGATGTCAAGAAGTGTTATAACTGTAATACTGAACAGCATGTTGGGGAAAAAAAGAGAAGTAAATATCCCAGCAGCAGTGGTGGTATATTCCAGATTTTTTTTCAAAACTCGCAACAAGCACCCGTGGTAGTATTTGCAGTATGGTAACTGTTTTTATTCATGTGACAGTCGTGAAATCAATACAGGTAGGCATAGCTATGCATAAGAAAATATTGAAAAACGTTGAATATCCCTCATGAGCTTTGAATCATTGGAAGTGTGAGTGGACTTCTTGCCGGAGCTCACATATGAGCTGCCAAATATACACTGCTCCCCCTTCCCCCTGCCTCACTCCCCATGCAGCTGCAGTCCCTCTCTTGTGCGCATGCTTGAGCAACTTCAGAAAGTGGAGCCTGGCTCTTTTGGGAAGAAATGGTGTATGATTCACACAGCACTCATTGCACTATTAAAACTTGCAATAAAATGAGTAAATTGCATAATGATGCAAAATAGTATCAAACTTTCAAAACTATTTCATATGTGTTAAAACACCCTATTCATTAAGAATGCAACTATTTGGATTTCTAAGAAAGCCTGCATCACAAATAATTGTCCAGTATAGAGTGCATAAATCATAAAATATTACCTTGTTGGATTTTTTAACCATACAGTTCCAAAAACTAGTTTGGAATAATTCTCCTTCATGTGAATTCCAATTAACTGTATGTATATGAATTTGAGGTGGCTAGTTGAGAATTTTATTGTGGTGCTGCTGATTAGTAGTAATATGTTTTTTGAATGCTGCTTGCATTGCATGATGCATGTGAAGTGTCTTTAAATTATGAAATTTGTGCTCAGCACCAGGAATGATCCAAGATATCAAATCACTTGTGGGATCCTTGAGCATGGATTAACTGTGGAAGGTGTCTATATATAGCAATTCATTCTTGCCCAAAAGGATTGCAAATTAGAGCCCATGGTAGTTAGGAAATGGGATAAATTTGTGAATTGAAAAAAAATCATTTATTCTGATGCCCTGCACTAAAACTTTTTGTTATGTTGTTGAAGATTTTTCTTTTTTACTTAATGGTAGTTTTTGAATGGGTAAAAAGTGGTAAACATATAATAATGCTTCATCTGCCTGTGGTGCAATGCTGAAATGAGTTCAGGCAGCAAATAGCACTGTATAGCAAGGGTGTGATTGTGTGAATAACTTTTAAATAGATGCACTTGAGAAACATTTAGGCAAGAAAAAGGTAGACATCTTTTGAAATACCTGAGGTGCTTCAGAAATGTTCAAGAAGCATCAGAGAGCAAGTGTAGAAATCACATAAGGAAATTCAGAAATGCTTGCCATGAATATTGAAAGGGCTTTCCACATCTTCAATGTATTCTATACACATTTGTGTTGCAAAGCATAAATGAAGATGCTTTTTTTTTATCCCATATGCTTTGCATAAGTTTGAGAAGCAGCAGTGCAGCTGCAGGACACACTTGTTCAAAGCTATCTCACTCAAAAGCCACCAAGTAATCCTCCAATGAGAAGCTCCCATGTTTATTAAAGCTTTGAATATTTGAAGCATATATTTTTGGTGCATCAAATTCAGACATTTCTGTATCACTATAAACAAAAGTAAACTTTTTCCAAGAAATTTTACGGGGACAGAAGAAGAATTCACATTTCCATTCATAAAAATTCAATTTTCAATATATGCAATTAAAACATATACAGCATTAACATTTGTAGAACTAAATTGGGCATTTCTCAATTTAAAAATGCCATTGACTGAAAGAAACTATTAGCAAAGGGAAAATTTTCAGTCATGCCAAATTTTTTGGGCTTTGGTTTTTATGTATGAAAAGTTATTTTATACTTATTTCCATAGAACTAGAAAGGTATATTGTCCTTTGAAAATCACCATGATGAACATTTGGAAAAATTTGCGTTCAGAAATGCCTGCCTTTATACTACATTAGTTCAATAGTGGTATTAGAACCAAATTGTAATGCTGAATGAGACCCTTCCAGAAAATCTTTGAATAGGATGGAGGATTCTGCTAACTACTGAGTAGGTTGTGGGTTCAAACCCATAGCAGTGTAAGCTTTTTTGTAAGTTTCCAATATTTTTATTCTGGCCAGTATTCTGGGATGGTTTTGTATCTTCATCACAAAGTACAAATAAGCCAATGCAACATCTACAATCTTAGCAGTGAAACAAATATTGAGCANACCAGTCAAAGCCTTTTCCTGAGGCCAGTGACATTGATAGATCGGATTTTCACGGTGACCCTTTTTTTGCCTTGGGTGCAGGGCCAGGGTGGTGGATTGTTGATACACAATCTGGGGGCATATTTGATACAAGGATGGAAAAAAACAGAAAAATTAGGGGATGGAGTAGCCCACTCCCCCTCTGTTTAAGAAACAATTACCCTTCCCAGTTCAGGGGAAAAAATGAACAGGGTCTTCCATAAAATATTCCAAGTAAAAAGTTGGAAACATTTTCCAAAATTTTCAAACTTTACAATTCAGTATCTTCTAACTTTTTCATAAAGCACAGAGAGATTGCATCAATTTTCAGAAAAAAGTGGAAAATATGCAACAGTGGGAATAATGTGGTATTAGATACTGTCTTTTTGAAACATTAGTAAAACCACCACCAAAATTGGTGATATGCCAATAACAATATACTGTATTTGCAATGCAATTATATACTTGCTTCTTAAGGTAATTCCTAAAAATGTGTGAAGCATAGAAGATAAATTTCAAAATTACTTATATACCTGCTTTTGGTATGCATGCAGAAATTCACATTGCATGCGCCCCAAACGTCTGGGACAAATGCAATGTGAATCCCTGCACTTTTTGCATGCGTCCCCAAATGTGTGGGACGCATGCAATGTGAATCCCTGCACTTTCTGCATGCATCCCCAAATGTGTGGGACGCATGCAATGTGAATCCCTGCACTTTCTGCATGCATCCCAAATGTGTGGGACACATGCAATGTGAATCCCTGCACTTTCTGCATGCGTCCAAAAGTTTGGGACACATGCAGAAATTCACATTGCATGCAGTTTCCAAATGTTTGTGATGCATGGAATTTAAATTTCAAAATTATTTATATACAGTACTTGCTTAATGCTTGCTAATTGTTGGCAAGGCACCAAATATAAATCTACATATATTTTGGATGTGCATAATGCTTTGTAAGCATTTGTGAAGCACCTAATGTAAATCTCAAAATTATTCTTACACTTGCTTAGTGCCTTATAAATTTCAAAGTGAACTCATACAGAATTTTTGAACTAAATTAAACTGAATCATTTTAGAAAAAGTTGTACAGCATATGCTTTATTTACTCCTATATAACTGGTGCCATGACAGCAACTTTGACAAATATCTTCCTGAGGGGGAAAGCTTTTCTCATTTTGGTATAAATAGAGGACACTTATCATTAAGTTCTCCTTTCTGATGAAAACTTGTTTACAATATGGTAAGTACTCTTCACGCTGTACAAGAATTGTGGCTGTGTATTTTATGCATAGATTAATCCAGCAAAGTACTGTACATGCATAGCATCAGGGCACCCCAATCTTTAGGCAATGAAGCCCTTCTATATCAACAATGTCCATTTAATTCCCAATTTTTGAATGCCCAGATTCAACCCATTATATAACCATCAATATTTTTTGGAAAAATCAATATTTGAAAACATTGAATCAATTAATCAAGTTATCATAAATCAAGAACATAATGCATTTGGAACTAATTATGAACTCAATATACATTTTGAATGAATTAAAAACTCAATACATTTTGAATGAATTATGAACTCAATAAATATTGAATGAATAATAATTTTGAATATTTTGCAACAAAAAATGAAATTTAGAAAACTGCAGAAGGTATTTAGTACAAGTAAATAAAAAATTGAATTTGGAATGGTTAGACAAATCTGGAATATCCAGCAGGCATACAATGAGCAGCATTGAGAATAAAGACAAATAAATATAATATAACCTTTTCACACTTCAATTCAAACAATTTCCCCTTGCATACATTTTAATTGTATATTTGGAGACATTTTCAATGAAAAGCATACCTTGAGTAAACCAATAAGGATGATTAAAACAAATAGTAATTATAATTTTGAAGAACAATTCAATTCACACCAAACTTGAGGAGTCAAAGGAATAGTAGTTGTCCTGATACACTGCTCATATCAATTGAAACAGACTTTCTGAAGTTTCTCATGAGTTTGCTTAAAGGAGAGAGTGATGGGTTCAGGGAGTGAGGGGCTGGGGGGGCGCACTAGCTCACATTTAGGCAGCTCACATGTGAGCTCTGGGGAGAAGTCTGTCCACCCAAAGGTTAGAAAGTTTGACTTATGGTGTAAGTCAATGCACATAGTCTATTTTTAAATATCTGGACTTCATTCTGCAAAAAATGCTTGAATTTTCGTGGAATTCATTCTATTTTTGCGGAAGTTCAAATTTAACCAGAGCCCATGCTCAATTCCACGGGAAGCACAGCCGGGTGAGGGTTCACCAAGAAAGTGCTTCGGAGGGAAAGCTCACCGCGGAACTGTCGTCGGCAGTTGTGCACCACTCCCGGAGCTGGGGCAAAGTAAAGCCGGAAGAACTCTGATACGAATCAATCCTGAGTGTGTTGTGCTTCCAATATGTGAATCGTTGCAATCATGTGTTAAATTAATTTGACGCGTAGTAAAGGTGATCTAAGGAATCTCTTATCATTCTGTACCTCAACCTTGCTTTGCAGTCAAGGCATCCAAGGGAAATATCCAGGATTAAAACTAATGCATTTGAGTTCGCACCAGTATACGATGCTTCAGCCCTTGCCCGAATCATGCTGTCAAGGAACGTATCGATTTATACTTAAGAGTCGTATATTCGGCGCATCTGAAATGGATCAGTTTTCTTTGAAAGTTGGTTCACGAAACACATCGATTCCGTTGGCTCAGCAGGAATCCATTGAATTAATATATACAGTGAATATTGACGTTTTCCAATAGGCAGATCAGAGCCGTAATCAAGATAGATTGTATGAAGGTATGTCACACGCGTATGTTTCTTCATCGTTCCAAGGTTCAATACTAAAGTGGAATGTTCGGACCGAAATGCTTTACACGTTCTGTCGTCCATCTTCGAACGCCAGGCGACGGAGGCGACAGCATGTTATGCTTTTTGTGAGTTTCTGTCTTGACTGATATCCGAGAGGGAGCACAGCCCAGCATCCTGTCTTGCCAAATCTCGCTGGAGCGCTATCGTTCGGGCAGCAGTTCGCTTTCAACGCTTCCATCGGGAGGATTCATTACTCATGGGTTCCAGGCGGTACGTCGTGGAAGATCACGACTGACTTGATTATTCTCTGACATATCAGCGTAATTTCAGGTGGTTTCATCCGTACATCACCGGCGTTCAAGCCGAAAATTTGTTGTTGGAATGCGGGGTGGATGGTAGTTTCCTTGCGAGAAGGTCGCATACTGATCTGGGTCATTTCACATTATCGGCAAGGTAAGGAAAAATGAATATGGGTCAGTTTGGATTCTATCGACGATTTTTCAACAGACGCAACAATGCTGTCACGCACATCAAAATTCGAAGCACTGGAGATTATTATGATCTCTACGGTGGCGATACATTCGCCACTTTGTATGAATTGGTGCAGCATTACATGGAAAATCTAGGCCATCTTCGGGAACGCAATGGAGAAATTATCGAATTGAAATACCCGGTGTCGTGTGCTGATCCTACCACGGAGAGGTAAATCGTTTTGTATGGAAGAACGTCTTCCGACATGAATTTTTTTCGTTTTTCGGGCAGTAGATGGTACCACGGGCACATGAGTGGTCGTGAAGCAGAGCGAATGCTGCTTAGTCGTGGTAAGAGTGGAAGTTTCCTGGTTCGTGAATCCAGAAGCAAACCCGGAGATTTTGTGCTCTCTGTCCGCACTGATGATAAAATAACTCATGTCATTATTCGGTGTCGGGTGAGATCCTGTGCTCTTGGCCTTTTCGCAGAAAATCATCTGCGCTTTTTTTTCCAGAGCGGAAAGTATGACGTTGGCGGTGGTACGGAGTTCAGCACCTTGTGTGAGCTTGTGGATCATTATTGGAAGAATCCGATGGTCGAGTCATCTGGCACAGTTGTGCATTTAAAACAGCCTTTTAACGCCACGAGGATTGCAGCCAGTCAGATCGATACACGGTATCGTGAACTCAAAAAAGACAATAGTTCCGGAAGTGATCACAAAGATGCCGACAAGGTGGGTTTGGATTTCTATGTCTCCGACAAACAAGTACGATCATCTGAAATCAGCTTATTCTGCTTTTCTCTATCTCGGCCTAGGTTTCCATATCCACGGTATCCACTTGCACTGGCGGAAAAGCTGGTTTTTGGGAGGAATTCGAGAGCTTGCAAGAGCAGGAGTGCAAACATTTGTATTCTAGTGTTCCAGGCGATGAAGGAAGTCCTGATCGTACATTTACGCGCAAAGAAGGACAGAAACCGGAGAACAGAGGAAAAAACCGCTACAAGAATATCCTCCCATGTATACTTCAATTTTGATCTTTTTCTCTTTAATTGAAACTACTCATACTTACGATGTTTTATAGTTGACCATTCGAGAGTCAAGTTGAAAGATGCAGATCCTGATGTTCCTGGGTCGGAGTACATCAATGCAAATTACATCAAGGTTTGTAACACATTCGACAAGCAGTAATTGTATTTACGAGGTTATAGTTTTTCTCCGGAGAATGCGTTTGAAAGTCCCATCTATGTTTGAGATATTCTAGAAAATACCAAGTGACAAGAGAGTGATCTAAACTAAAGCTAGTTTGAATGAAAAGTGATCAAATCGAGCGAAAATAATCCTGATGAATAATATGCCGTGTAAAAAAGAAACCTGGGATTTTCTCTGAAATGATTGAATGTTGTTGGGCTATTTTGCGTTTCTCAAATTTTGACCAAAGTAATTTAAATGTGTATACAGTACTGCACAGTACCTTTCAAAGTTCTGGGATATGTTTGAGCAGACCAAATTATTTCCTGTTTCATGCCGCTTCTTCCTAAGTAATCGATTTCTTCTCGAACGTTTAAAGATCGCTCCAGCAAGTGTTTTATTGAATCGTCGTGCTTCCTAGGGTCTCGTAAATACTGTACTATATATAAAGAATGTTATCACGAACATTCGACTACATTTTGAATTTATGTCAGGCCGACGAGGAAGTTGTTGGAGAAGGTGCCAGCCAGAATATGTACATTGCCACTCAAGGTTGTTTAACAGCGACTATGAATGATTTTTGGAAGATGGTCTGGCAAGAAAATACTCGCGTAATCGTCATGACTACTAAGGAGGTTGAAAGAGGGCGCGTGAGTAGAAGCGGACCGTCAGTGCGAAGCCTTGATTTCCAAGTGTTCCTGGTGTTCTTGTTGATATCCGCAGAACAAATGTGTCCGCTATTGGCCTGAGGAGCAAGGTCAGACAGAAACGTACGGGGACATAGTTGTGAAGATGACGAAAGAATCGTGCACCACGGATTTCGCGTTGAGGGAATTCTCCGTTCATTCCACGAAAGTGGATGATTCTCCTCGTATGATATATCATTACCATTTTCTTGTGTGGCCAGACCATGGGGTTCCCTCTGATCCTGGTTGCGTTTTGAATTTCCTGATGGAAGTGAATAGTCGTCAGAGATCAAGTAAGTGTATCATAATTCATAGGTGTCTTGCCGATTGGGGGCCGTTCGAGGACATTTCGAAGTGTGTCTGACCCCATGAATAGGAATTTTATCGCTTGTGTCCGATCTAACTTCGTTGGAAGTACTGTATATTGTGATGGCGAGAGCCGAAAATTCCGATATTCTTACGAAGAGACGAACTGAAGTGCCTTCATCAATATGAACGCAGTTCCCATTGCTAAAACAACCTTGCAATAATTACAGACGTGACAATGATTTGTGTAAAAAGGATTTTCCTGTTAATTGAATAGTAACGTGGGCCGGTTTTCACGATGTTTACCATGTGCAGCATAACATCTCGACAAGAATACATTTTTCTTATGAAGAGTTGAACGGAAGTGCCTTTATTAATATGAACCGATTTTGCCGCAGTTCTCCGGTTTTTGCCTTTTTTCACGATTGCTGAGACAGCCTTGCAGTAATTGAAGACGTAGCTATCATTTGTGTGAGAGGGATTTTCCTGTAAACTGAATACGGGCCTGATGTTTACCATCTTTAAAAGCTTGACAATTTGAAGCGTGAAGTTGTTGATGTTCGTGCTTGAAGAAGCAAGATGCCTTTCTTGAAGAGCACTATTATGACCACAGAATTTGCAGGAACTTGAATAATGATCCCTTTTGAAATTTTTTCTCAGCTGCCCAAAGCAATGGCGATGATGCTAGCGGTGAAGCTGGTCCTATGATCGTGCACTGTTCCGCTGGAATCGGTCGAACCGGGACTTTTATAGTCATTGATATGATCTTGGATCAGATCGTGCGCCAGGGCCTGAATACAGAGATTGATATTCAGCGCACGGTATTGTCTGTTCGAGCCCAGCGATCGGGAATGGTGCAAACAGTGGCCCAATATAAATTCGTGTATTCAGCCGTCAAGCAATACGTGGAGACGTTTTCCCAACGGATGGAGGCTGGTCAAGTGAGTTTGTTCTTTCGTCATTTTGCAGCCGTGTGGTTTGATGTGCCCCATTTCCGATTATTCGAAATTAGTCGTTGAAGTTGTCATCGAATCAATGCCGCCAGTTGTGTTCTCCTATTTTCCTACAGGAATTTGCATTCCTGCACCTGACCAAATTAATTGTCAAATCCACGTTGAACAAACGTACGTGGGGATATTGCACTTGCTTAAATTACAGCCGTCTGTTATCTTTATCGGAAATTCCGGAAAGCCTGTGTCCGTATACATTATCTGACGAAAAACAAAAGTTGGCATTTCTTCTAATAGCGCTTCGGACAAATTTCAAATTACTGAAATAAATTATTTCAAGTATTCATTCTGATGAACCGTTCTTGAAACCCTCCTTTTTAATTTTTTAAGACATTCCACTGCAGCTGCTCCAATGATTCTTACCTCAATTTTAACAATATACATTTTGTTTGGGGGACTTCGTGGCAGGTGTTCGGAAATTTCTGCTGGTCTGTAGTAAAATTTTATGGAACTTCGCCGGTCAAATTTTGTTGTTGAAATTTTTAGGTCGGCAAAATTTTTTAAATCGAAATTTGCTTGTCCTGGTGCACAAGAAGGTTGGGGAACGCTGAGATAGTCTGCTTCACCCTCTTGAAAGCAGATATGTTTTTATTTTTTTGTTTAGACGTTGGAAACCGAAAACTAACATAGTGTAATTTTCTTTCGTTGCGGGATTCAACAATTTTACGGTTCATTTTTGCAGAAATCCATGCAGTTCGGACATGAGTACACAAATATTAAGTACTCTTCCGAAGGAATGATGGATCCAACGCGTTCATTGTCGATGTCTTCCTTGTCGCTTTCCAGTCCCGGTCCACTGGCCACGCCGTCACATATTTTACCGTGAGTTACGCGGTTTTGAAGCTGTTTTATCGTGGTTCCCAATGGCACATTTTTTTTAAAGGCCGCCATATGAGGACGCTCGTCATTCGTTCAAAGCGCCGACCAGTTCAAAAACAGGACGTTCCTGGGCCGGCGGAACTCCAAAAATCGGCCCACCACCAAATTTTATTCCACCACCGCCGAAAGCTTGAGCTTTTTCTCGACGCAGTTTTTCTGTTTCACCGCGAAGCTCGTCGATAAGGACGTGTTTTGGGTTGTCGATTTTCTGCTCTTTTCCGCTTCTGCGCCGAAATCGATCATTGGTCATGCTTCCACCGTTTTTGTGCACGCGTATTTTGCCGGGATGTATTCCAGTGGGCGTTTTTATTTTTGCACTGAGTTGACGAAGGGCGGGGTTTTATGGGCCCGAACGTTGATCGCCGAAATTTTGTTGGACGGGAAATAACGAGTCACGAGAGATTTTCGGAGAGGGTGTGGTACTTGTGATAAGAGTTCTTGGAAGTACAGTGAGACGTTATTCATGATGGATGGATAACCTGAAGAAGCCTCAAGCATGTTTGCCTAACGGAACGATACGAATACTGTATCAACCATAATAAATGTCGATGCTTGCACGTGCACAACTTCGTCGGTCTTGAACGAGGGAGTGCAGCTGGTATCCTGTTCTTCAAAAGGCTCGGAGTTCTAGTAGCACATTTTTAACGTATCCGAGGTTTCTTGAGCGAGGCCCAGTCGAATTCAAGTTACTGAAGCTACGACCAGGATTCAGATTTTATGTCATCCATGCAATTTTTTGTGTGGCGCTAAATGGCGATGTTTTCAATCCGAAGATGTATCTTGCGACTCACGTTTCGAATTATTCTGAACGTGCATACTTCTGAAGCCTCCCGCTTTGTTGCCGGAGAGTTCTATAACCTTGTTGACATAAGGCTTTAAAGTTCTAAAATGCTCGTTAACATTTTCATGTTCCAATGTTACTCGTAAGATTTCGGCGTATTACAGGAAGCTCTGAAAGTCATCTTCTGGAAAGGTTCAGCTTTTTGAAGGAGGATGTGAAACACCTAGATTCCCAATTAAATAATGTTAGCATTCATTGACACTGATTCTCGTCAGAATTCCCAAGGTAATTCACTTTTCCTGGAGCTCAAGTAATAGCGGTATTATGGTGTGCGTTAGTTTTTTTTGTTTTTCTTTGTTGGAAGAACTGACGTTCTGAGAGTACCAAGAGTGCCGTATTGAGAAGATCGGAATTTCGTAACGGAAATTACATCTATTTGTATGTTTGTCCGAGTCTCGGGAACGAAGCGAGGATATGGTGCCGGTCATCCTCGTTTGCTGAGATTCGTTGGCAGCGAGTTAAAAAAATTCGGATTGATAATGCTTAACTGCTGAAGGTTACCAACTAAGAGGAAGAGCAAATGTTGTGCTGTTGAATTCAAGCAATTTTTGCGCGTTGTGCTATTTATTTTTCAAGCGAATTCAGGAAAAAACAAAAAAGAAACTGGATGATGTGTAGTTGTTCGCTGGATTGCCGGATATTTATGAACTTGTTTTGGTTGCTTACGAATCTCATTTGGCGTGCATGTGTCTATCCTGTGTTTGCGCTGGAGTTTCATAGGGCTATGATTAGTCGCCCTGCGGTGCGACTTATTTTTTTCTATTTGGCTTCTTCGAACTAGTGATATATGCTGACGAATTTCGGAAAATGCTCCGTGGATCAATATAGATTAGTTTTTTCGGCGCTTTTTAAGGAATGAAGCTTTTGTGTCCAGTGTTCTTCGGTTCATTTATTTTTTTATTTTTGGTTTCGCTTCGTGTTTGAAAAGAAAAACTCCTTTCCCACAGGCGACGCTCGAGTGCAAATGTGAGGTGACACCCGTTCTCCGCGATGACATTCCTTCAGGTTTGCGAATGGTCTATTTGCCAGTTTCCAGTTGTGGGATTCTATCTGCTCATCTTTTGATAGTGGAGGAAGTTCAACTTCTTCGACGTTGCGCGCGACGGGGATTTGATCGAGACTTCGGAAACTGCCCGGCTGAAAGATGCTCGCGTCACTGCTTGCGTTTCCGGAAGCGGACAAATCGTTATCGGTGATGCGGCAGGAAATATTTACTTCATCTCTAGATCGCTGGAAGTGGCGTCGTTCAAGGCCTACAACCTGTGCACGTCGCATATTGTGGTTCATCCGCAACACAACTACATGATCACCGTCGGCGTACGTTTTTGATAGTTTGGAAGTCACATCCTTATCTGAAAATCTTGCGTTTACCTTTTTTTTTAAATTCGCATTGAAGCCTCTTCTGTAAAACTGGGTATTACAATCACACACCGTTAAGCCGCCACCTTCGGCGACCGCCGATTTATTTTGAAGAACAACACTCCCTAATGACATTGGAAACTCCGTTAAATCGCCATCCGCAAAAATTATTTGCAACTCAAAAAGTTTTCTGCAAATTAATTTTTCTTCGATATCCCATGAACAAGATTCAATTTCTCTAGAGGTTTCCAATTTGAAAAAAAAAACACGAAGATGACATAATTTACTTATCGGGAAAATTAGCTAGATATAATCTAGGCATCCCTGTGTTATTTTGATTGTTTTCTAGAAGAATGAGAATTTTATTTCCTATTATGCTTAATTTTCATTGAGCTTTTTTGATGAACCACCAACCCCCTTTAAACCGCCGCAAACATCATGAACAAATGTTGGCGGCTTATCCAGGTTTGACTGTATTGGAACTTCTGAATTTTATAGGGTGTCCTCGTTGGAGAAAAATGTGATCAAACTGCTTCAAAATTTTTTGTAACCGGATCTGGCCTATCGTCACTCTTCTAGGTTTTGTGACGGCAGTTCATGGTTATAATGCCGGAAGAGCGGTTTTTTGGCACGAAAAATCGAATGATTCCCGTTCTTTGTTTTTTTTTTAGTGTTAGCAAAAGAATGTAGCGAAAATGTTCTGTGGGTTATATTTCTTCTGAAAGAAAATTCAATTTGAGGGAAATGAATCATAAATTTAGGAAGGAATGTCTCGTATCTTCTGTAATTAATATCGTAGCTGAAGATAATTTCTTTGGACTACAGTATAAAGGTATTTCTTTTGAAAGAATATACAATTTTAAGAAAATGAATGTAAATTTAGGAAAGAATGTCCTGTATCTTTTTTAAATGATGATGCAGCATTCGAAAAAGGTTCTGCTAAGAATGGTGAACCGAAGGGTAGAAAAAATACAAGTATATTGTGCTTTAATCCTGACGGATTTCGTTCACCTTTTCTCCTACTTTCAGAAAAAAAAATGTATCATACTGAAATGAAGGAGATGAAATCATTATTATTCCTGAAAAGAAACGTATGCCTCAAATGAACATGGTCATTCTTACAGGAGGATGAAGTTGGAATAAACCCATTGATCAAAGTGTGGAGTCTTGAGAAGCAAGATCCGCACACTGGGAATCCGTTATGTCGTCGAATATCGAGAGCTTTGCCGAACAACCGGCCCTTGGTTGCTACTGCTTTGGCTGTGGACCCTGATCTCGTTAAATTGGCTGTTGGTTTCGCGGATGGATCCGTGCTTCTCTCCCGAGGTTAGACCCTGTCTTGAACTATTCATATGTCTTGTGGGTAGCACGATGAAGCTCTCTGCAGTTTCGTCATCTTGTTTGGATGCGTGAAAATGAAAGATGTTCGAACCTCGAGATTGAAGCTCAACCCGTTTTGAAGTTTTAAAAGTGGTGCAGTAAGTTCAAATTTGAAGATGTACCAAAATCGGTATTTGTAAGATTCTTTCTTCTAGAAAGCTGAGAAGTGTGTCAAAATCGATTGTGTTTCACGTCGTATGAACGTGGGGGAAGAAATTGAGTGTATGTTTCGTGTTTTTAAGAAACTCAACGATTTTCTTGAAACGGCGCTTGGAAATGTGACACCGTTTCTACGAATAGAATGTTTCCGAAAAGTTTTCTGAAAATGAGAGAATTGATGCAGTTTTACAGAGTTGATCTTTTGCTTCAACTGTTCTGGACCCTGATCTCGTTAAAGTGGCTGTTAGTTTCGCGGGCATTGTGCTTCGCTCCCGAAATTAACCCTGTCTTACGCCATTTTCACTATAAATCCTTCTACGGCTATGTCGTTCGAATGTGTGGAAATGAAAGAGATTCGAACCTTGAGATTGAAGCTTGATGAAGTGTTCATTGATCTCAGACCGTCTTCTACTAAGCAATGGGAAGATCTTCGCTATTCGATATAATTGATACTTTTTTACCTATGGTGCATTGTTTGGCTTCATCACGGATAGTTATTATCATAAGATTCAGAATATGCCCTGCCAAGAATGTACAAGAAGGTATTGAAATTAAGTTGTGTGGGTGAACTTCCGGAGCCAGGATCCTCCAAGCAAGCCTCCGTAGATTGTCTAATTCCCTCTCGACCGATTAGAACTGCAGCGCGATCTTTTCGTTCCGCACGACTAACCCAAACCTCTTTCAAGTCAGAAAACTCATTCTCATCGGAACTCCATCTCTTTCATATCTCGTAAATTTTTAGAAAGAATATTCGTTGTTCCCAAGATGTATCTGTAGTATTTGTTCAGATTGCCTAAAAAATTCCTAGAACATGCAAGTGTGGCATTTTAAGTAGAGGAAAACCTAAAAGAATGATCAGGAAAAGATCAATTACAGCACGTCTAAGAAAAAAAAACTTGAGTCAGTGTGAATCCACCCTGCAAGACTTGAACCATCGAACAATTTGCTGCCATTTGTTCGGAAAACTGAATTGACCAACCGACTCTTGTAATTTTTCGCAGGTGATGTGACGCGTGAAAGAGGGAACAAGCAAAAGGTTTTCCGTGAGGGTGAAGCAGCTGTTACAGGCCTGGCATTCCAAAATACTGCGAGGACTACATATTTATTTGTGGTCACTAAGGATTCCGTGTGGTCGTACAACCTGGTTTCGAAAGACAAGGAAATTAAAGTTCAATTGGACGATTTTGGAGTACCTTCGAAATGCGTTGCGCTGGCGGACGGTCGTCATGAACATCACCTTATCCTTGGACACAAGGATGTACGTACAGTATTGCAATTCATGCCGTAAAATCTCGTTATTGAGAAGTCATTTGTGTAGGACTTCGAAAAAGTAAAATCGTAATGTACGGTGATGTAAAATTCGTCGTGTTGAGAAGCAATTGACGTTGTTGGTGAAATGTATTGACCTTTAATGTTCGTGTTCAATGATGTTTAGGACATGATTTTCTTTTAATGAATTTATATTTCTGCTTATTATCGATAAAATCAAGGGATATAGAAAAAAATTTTAATGTCTACGAGATGATTATTGATGATGTATCGATTTGTGAACATACCGTTGGTGGCTAAAAATTCAAATCATGTCCACCGCAAGTTAAAAATCTATCGACTGTTGATTTTCAAATCCCTCTTTTTAGTATTTCTATTCTGGCTTGCATTTTTTTCGCAACAAATGTCCGATTTTTCGAGACCGAATTTTGGAAAAACGATTCGGTGATCTCCGAAGCCTTCTACTTGAGCGTTTCTATTGCAAGCATACATTTCATTTGGATTTTGTTTCAAAAATTATAAGTTGAGCACCTGTTCATTCGGAGGATTAAGAATGGAATGTATATCTTCATAACACTTCGTGATGAAACAATTTTTCTGCCATGAAAAATTAGTACCGTATTTGATCAAGTAAGACACGCATAAAATCGAATCTCCGAGTAAGACTTACACTCAATTTTTAGTGACTAAAACTACAATATTTAAAAGATAAGAACACCCGACTTAATATAGACATGAATTTAACCTGAATTCTACTAATTTTCAAATGTCTCCATTAAAATAAGTTTTGTGCAACACGTGTTCCAAAATTTCCGATTAAAATCAAGTACTGTATAATTAATTCCTTAACTTCTAAAACTTGCAAAAATGTTTACCTGCCAATGACGCGCACTTTTTTTCACTTCTAAATTTTAGAAAGAAGGTGTACGTGATGACTAAATACGGGTATTGAGCAGGATATGAATAATACTGACGATCAGATTATTGTTCCAATTTGAGAATTAAATTGGCAATTTTTCCTTCTTTAATATCTGTAGTGATCATGAGGGGAGCCACGAAATCCCAGAAGATAGGTCATTTCAATTTGATGAACATCACGTACATTTTCTTGTAGATCAGGCGATGCCACTTTTCACGAATATGTGCACTTTTTCGGTCCATCCTCCATATTTATGCACCTCGAAGCAATCCGGGATTTTCTTTGTCCTCAAATGCCTTTTCTCCGTGTTCTAGGCGGTGTACTGCTACTCCCCGGACAGCAGAGGCTCCTGTTTCGCCTTCGAAGGAGAAAAGCTGATGCTTCATTGGTTTAAGGGCTACTTGATTGTGGTTACGAGACAGGATGCTGACAAACGACCAGGTGACATCGTGAGCGATGAACGAACGACGATCTTACCAGCTGGCTCAACGTAAGTAATGTACCCGTTTTTCAAGTTTTTCATCTGCGGTACGATTCCAACAGGATTTGTCAAGAAAGAAATCTTTTTATTTTCGCGATGACTCGAGGAACCAATCTGTTGAATGTGATCGGTTTGTAGGCTTTTTTCACGTTGAAAAGGGCGATTTCGAAGTTCCAAGTCTTCGTTGTGGATTTTAATTTTGCATAACCTTCTTTAAGACGAATACAGAGATCTTGAATCTCGATGAAAGGATTGATTTCAAGTAGCTCCGCGTGGGAATATTCGAAATGGGCTTGATGATACAGTACTCTGCTTGGGAATGAAAGTTCCGAAACCGCGGCAAGATTTGCAGGGTGTAGACGTTTATCAGCCTAAATTTCTCTACCTGAAGAATTGCCGCATTCTTTTCCTTTCCTTGAGAATTTTTCGAAGTCTTCGAATTACGTTACCTCGATTTCCGTTTTACCTTCGTTGAATTTAAAATTATTGTATTTCATTTTTCGATCGAATAGGGGAATCACTGAGAAGCATATGGTGAAGATCTATGATCTGCAAAATCGACTGGTTGCACACGAAGGTCCAGTCGGACCCGGAGCAGTAGTCGGAGTGGTTTCGGAATGGGGATCCGTTGTGATAGTTATGGATTCCGGAAAGCTGATACGCTTGCTGGAGCGAGAAGTGTCAGCTAAACTAAACTTGCTTTTCAAGCGGAATCTGTATGACGCAGCCATCAAGTGAGTATAATTTTTCACCCGTTCTTCAAATTACTCGACTTTTTTCTCATAGACGAACTCGTTGTTCAATGTGAGGTGTCTGATTTCTGTGTGCTGTGCATGCTGAACCTTTTATGGATTATTTTAAGCATGAGTCGGTGATGCAGATATTTGGGTCATACTAATCAGTCTAGTAAATATTTCGCGTTACAGTTTTTCCTCCGACTAAATTTTGATACTACTCTTCAGTGATAAACGGAAAATTAGCCCGAATCGTCTAATGGGATGCCATTAAATCGATATTCTTCAACATTACTGTGTGTTGGGCGCAAAGGCCAAACGGAAGATAATTGGCGTATTACACCTTACACAGGGTGGGCAAAAAAAAGACATGATTGTGATTATTAATGAGTTGAATTCTCATTAATAATTTCGATTAATCATGAAACTGATATTTGAGCCATCAGTCATATCAAAGAAATTTGCATGCAGGGGGTCACAGGAGCCATGCGGCTGGCTGCAGCAAGCTTGCATAAATTGTCGGGACTCGGGAGTGGACCAACATCCCTCTGCTCATTTTTTTATTTATTTCTTTTTTTGCACTTACACTCAAACCTCCTAAATTTTGAGAATGTGTGCACCCTTTTAAAGGCATCGGGAAGTTTGCTGGTTAAATTATTAGTCCTGCGTCCCACTTGTCCTTAAAAAGAGCTCTGGAGAACAGCAGCTTAGTGGAAGGAGTGGCCTGACAACTTTTTTTGTGGAAAGTTTTCATTCAAGTGGTTCTTGTGACTACTGTATTTCGTTGCGCTTGGGACCATCAAACTGCATACCATTCAAAAGGGAATTGAACAAGCTTCCATTTGGTTTTTTTCTCATTGCCGCAGCTCTATTTGCTGCCAAGCCATTTCAATCCAAAAATCGGTTCACTTTTTTTGGGCCACCCTGTATACAAATTTGTATGAGCGCCTACGCTGAATTATATACAATAAAATTATGTAATAACTGATTAATGAATATATCGTGCTCAATTCTTGAAGGGGTCGTAAAGATGCGGCCATTTTAGAAAATATAGCGTTGGTAAAGAGCGAAAGTGCACTTCGCCTAAGAATGTTGTAAGTTGTCGAATATTGTACGCACTCCGACTTTTGCTTAAGAAATAAGAGTATGTATTACAATACTGTTCTGAAGGTTCAAAAGTGATACAGTAATTCAAAATTTGAGGATTTATCAGAATCAGCACTTCTCAATTTGTTTCCAGAAAGCTGAGATCAGTATTTTTCATGTTGAATCAGTGTGGATGAAACAATTGAATGTACAGTACATTATACAGTATTCCATTTTTCAAGAAGCTCGTGTCGCAAATTTCTTCGACTGGCGCGTGGAAATGTGACGCCGTTCAAATGAACAGGATACTATACTGTTTGCGAAAAGAATGATGGAAATGAAAGAAGAGAGACAAAAGTTTTACTGAGTTGATGTTTTGTTGCTTTTTCTTCGACAGACTAGCGAAAGGCTGTGGTTACGACGCGGAAGGACTGGCTGACATTTTCAGAATGTATGGAGACCATTTGTACTCGAAAGGGGAGTTTCGCGCAGCTGCGGCTCAGTACGCTAGAACCGTGCGCCGTTTGGAACCCGCCTACGTGATCAGGAAATTTTTGGATGCTCAACGAATTCAGGAGCTGACTTTGTATCTGAATGCTTTGCACGACGCCGGAGCAGCGACAAGAGACCATACAACGCTTTTGCTCAATTGCTACACTAAACTGAGGGATACTGAGAGCTTGGACCAGTTTGTGGCGGTGTGTTCTTGAGGGTTCCGTTGGTTTCTTGCACGATTTTGGGAATTTGCTAAGCTTAGAAACACTTTGAAGAAATACCGTATTTAATCGAGTACCACGCGGCCTTGAGTAAGATGTGCACCGGGATTTTCAGTCAAATTTTTGTATCAAATTGTATCCCCGAGTAAAACGCGCATTCCATTTTAGTGAATTAAAAATGCACTATTTTAAATTTAAGAACACAGAAATTTGAATTTAGACAGGAATTGATCCTGAATCCAACTAATTTTCAATTATTTCCAGTACAATATGTTTTTCTGTTGAAATAGGTCCAAAATTCCTAATTAGAAAAAAAAAATAATGCCCACCTGAACTTCCGAAAGGGGGTGAGCCTATGACGCTCACCCCCTTTTCCCTTCAAGTTTGGGGAAAAAAGGTACGCGTGGTGCTTGAGTAAATGGGGTCTGTAAAATTCTGATTCCCAGCTGCATTGAATGCCGAATGTTTAATGCTCTTCAACGTGTGAACGGTATTTGTAGGCTGTCGAAACGAAGAAGCGTACTTCTAAAATTTTCTCATTGATAAAGATGATCTGAGGAGGGGAATGTTTATTTTCTATTTCCCGAGAAAGAAAAAAAGCTCTTAGAGAAGATGCGTGAAGATATTTTTCAACGACGAAGAACTTCCTTCAACTGGAGCGTTGCGAGATCAAAACAAATTGCGTACGACGGCGGGCTTTTAAATAAAATTGAGTTTTGATTGATATAAAGGAGGTGAACATAAATTATAGTTAATGGTGTTCGATTGCCGGATAGCTTTATATCTTTTTACGATAGCCTAGTTCGATGAATCTATTCAATTTCTTGCGTTTGTTGATCTATTAGGGAAAACGGAGCTCAAAATTTTTATTTTTTTTGCAAGAAATCTCATGACAGTCTACTTTCTGAAATTTTTCTCTGAAATTGACTGGGGAAGCTATTTTTTCTACAGAAGGGCGTAAGCAATTAGAACTAATTTCAGAAGATTGACTAGGTTATGTCTGTTTTCATTCAGAAAATGAACCATGTTGATACGCTGCGCAGTTCTGTGACAAGAGCGGAATTTCACGGCCAAAATTCGGCTTGATGAAATAAATTTGTGTCTCACACGCGTCTGTATCAACTGCTTATGATTTGAACTTCATCGTTTTCTAATGTTGATGAAGTATGAAAATTACTTGTTGTATTCCCGTGATAATATTTTCCTCGATTTACCGGTATGTTCATTGCAGTCGGACGGCCCAGGCGTGAATTTCGACGTCGTCACGGCGATTCGTGTTTGCCGACAAGCTGGATACTTTAAGCATGCCTTGGCCCTGGCTCGAAAGCATAGAGTCCACGACCTTTACCTGAAAATCCAGTTGGATGACCACGGAGATTACAAGGAGGCATTGGATTATATCGCAAAACTGCCTTTTGCTGCGGTAAGTTTCAAATGTAATCTTCCCTCCATATTTTTAGCCTTGTAACAGGCGTATCATCGATTATTTTCTCGACACTGTTATAAAACAAGTCTGTGCGTAATTGAAAATCATGAGGGAAATACAGTACAGTCAAACCTCAATAAGACGCCACCATTTGTGAGGTTTAAACGGTGTGGTTTTCCAAAACGCTAAAATATGGAATTAAGTACAGTGGGCCCCTGCTGTACAACCGGATCTTACTACATCAATTTCGCTGTACAGCCACTGGTGATTGCCAAAAAACCCCCCACAACAGTTGCCAACTTGCTGTACAGCCATACGTGCTAGCTGACGCACCCCTAAAATTTCTGAGGATTTAAATATGCCAAGCCTCAGACATGGCATTTTCCATGCCTGGCACTCAGGGAAAGGTGTTTTAGATAATTTCTGTACAGTATTGTGTACTGTTCTGCATATTTATGTGGTTAGAGTATGTTTGGTGGTGTGTATCATTACTGTTCTGTCATGTGTGTGCATTTATTTAACTGCATGTACTGTACTGATGTGTTCTTAAATTAGATATTCCAAGCACCGTTTTAAATAGATTTGTTTCTGTTGAGATGGCAACTAAGAAAGCTGCCAAGTGTTTTCAATCAAAGTGAAGCAAGAAATTAATAAAAAAAAAGCTGCACAAAAAGTTAATGACATTGCAAGAGAGTATGGTGTGCACCACTCTAGCATCAGCACCATCCTTGCCTAGCAAGAGAAAATCATGATGTCTAGTGTTGCAAAATGAATGACAAAGGTTGGTTCCAGAAGTATAACCATGGAAGAAATGGAGAAGCTCTTGTCCGTCTGGCTTACTGACAGTCAGGTGAAAGGAGATATCACCTCTACAGGTATCATCATGGAGAAGGCCAGAACTACTGTATATGTGCAGACCTCAAAGAAAACAGAAGGCCCTAGAATCATGCACAGAAAAACCAGCAAGGGAAATGGAAGTTTACATGGCCAGTAAGGGCTGGTTATAATTTTGATCTGGGAGCTCTTTGTACAGTAGATCCACTTTTGTTACGGAGCGCTTTAGTCTTGCATGTGAATATTTGAAGGCTGAACATTTTTGACAACGCACCGTTTATAGCTTGTATACTTTGGAAACGGACGCGCGAGTTCTTGTCAATTCTCGCGGACGTTAGTTATTTCGTCTTTTTCAACTCAATCCAATTTTCCGTGAACTACTGTATTTTTTGTTGCATCTGCGGAGCCCTTGTAAAGCTCACGAAGAGCCGTTGAAGACGATTTTAGAAACTCATGCCCTGTAGATACACTGTCGACGGATGGCGATTGTTGAATACTTCTTGCTTTCCTTTGTGAAGGTGGAGTCAACCATGAAGAAATACGGCGGGATGTTGATGGAGAAGCATCCGGACGAGACGGCGGCTTTATTGCAAGCTCTGTGTACTGACTATCGTCCGACCGCGTCTTCTTTTATATCCTCCGAAGCAGCGAATGAGAGCGGATGTAGAGCGGATGCTGAAGAATTCTTGCATGTTTTTACTCATCATCCGTCTCACCTCAAGCTCTTCTTGTTGGAAGTCGAAAAGGTAAATTTATATAACTGATGTATTCTCTGTGAAATGAAGATCTGTGATTTATACCCCGGGTTTCCCATAAGTTGATGTGTGTTGCTGATTTAAATCAAAATCCGTTGGATGACTTTTCCTGCTTCGTCCTTGTAATGACGAATTGCTATGAAGTGGGGGTCGATGTCGCCGACATTCACAAATGCTTTACTGAATATCATGTTTGTACCGAGTCGTTTCGTCCGTATCTTTTGTGTGCTCATAATCTTCGATGCAAGAGCGTGCCAAGATTGATTTACTTCCAGGGTTTTTTCAATATTAAGGTAACTTTTTTTTAGCATTCGTTTGCTTCAATAAATCGCAAATCTTCTCCGAACAACGAATCTCGGTGCGCTGTTTTATTCAAGATTAGAATCCTGTGTACATTTTTAAATTTTTCTCGGCGTGAGAACTTTTTGGACGTTCTGTGTGTTGGATGCAGTACTCCGAGATACTTTTTTTAAAAACATTAATGCCTTCGAGCATTAACTTGGATCAGAGTACGGTAGTTGGAGAGCTCGGGTATTCGGATGGTATATTTTGTTTGAGTGCAGCATAAAAATTTTATTGAAAACGACGACTGTCGAAGGTTCTGTTGTCAAAGATTACTGTTAGTTAAATGTCGAAAAATTTACGAGTGCTGTTAAAGATTAAGTTGATTTACTGCAACAACTTTTGAAATGATTTCTTCTTTCTTCCATTCCTTTAAATTCGAATCATTGAAGATTACATATTCAGCATGAAGTAATTGGAAATGAATTTCTTCATGAAAGCTTTTCATCGATTTAAATTATTTGACAACTTTTGTTGCAGGTCGTGCGAGAAATGCCACCCGCGTTGTACAGCGCTCTGTTGCAAGTGTATCTTCAAGAATGGACATTTTCTAATGAGATGAAAGACGCGGATTCCATCACGCAAGCGAAAAATGCTGCGGTTGATCTTCTGCACAACAAGTGGTCGCTCATGGACAAAGATCAAGCATTGATTCTCTGTCAAAATGCGTCCTTCAAGCCGGGCATTGTCTTTTTCTACGAGCGCTCTGAATTGTAAGTTTTTGTGAGATTCCCGTGATCATATATTTAAAAAAATCATTTAAGGCCAATACAATTTCGAAAAAAGTTGCGAACTGTTTTGCGATTGAAAAGGTTTTGTTCGTGACGCAGGTACAGTGAAATCCTGAAGTTAGAGGCAAGCGAAGGGAATTACGTGGGCGTCGTGGCAGCATGTAAGAGATTTGGACCGCGAGACCCGTATTTGTGGGTACACGCGTTGGAAATATTTGCCCCGGCGTCCGGACTTCCGGAAAGTTTGCTGAACGAGGTGCTAACTCAGATCGGTGAGACATTTGTTTGCAACTTCCAATTGGCTGCAGTTGGGGATGGCTACACTGCGCTGCATGGTTTGAAGCGAATGGAGAGGTCACCGCGAACAGGAAAAATATTAAGCCCAGTCCACATTTTTCCGAGTGGAAACGAAAGTTTGCTGCCTTTATTGAAAGTTTGATCTAAAAAAATAAATGAAAATGTGAAAAGGACATCAGATAATCTCATTTTTACCAAGAAAAGTGTGGAAATTGGATAGAAATACTGTCTGTGCTGGATTCTGCGACGCCTGTGATAAATTTAACTTTCTCTGCGCCAGTTGATCAGAGAAATAATCGGAAACAATTCACAGCCCAGAGGTACACTCCGTAGGACAGCAACATTTTCAATTGACGACGTTCTGCGATTAATTTAGAGTCACCCGTAACTTCGACATGTTCAATCCTGCAGAAAAACACGTTGACACTTTTTCTGCCTCGTAAATATTATTTCAAATGCCCTGAGCATATAAAGTAATTTTGAAAGTCGGAGTTTGATAGTTGAGTTGGGAGCTCAACTTTTTCTAAATTTGACCACAGGTCAAGACTCTTCCTACAACGAAATTGAAGGGAAGAGAGACAATACTGTATTCGTTGTAGGAAGAATATCGTTGCAGAGAACCCCTTGTAACATGGAGAGAATCCCTATGGACCCAAAAAAATTCGTTATACTGGATCGAAAACAAAATCATTGTAGAGAGTCCACCTGTATAGTTCAGTACTGTACCTTGAACCGTTCAAAAACTACTCGAGCATGAAGTCGGGTCGCACTTTTCGTGAGAAAAGTCTGCTGAGAGTAAGGACTTGCAGATTCGTTGGTTTAGAAACATGTAATGAAAGGAATCGTCGTAGTGGGTCCCCAACCATCATACTAGAGCAATATAGTGGACTGAATTTATTTTAAAGATGTTGCGACGATATTTACGAACTATTTTGGATGTTTTTCCCGATTCTTGGCCTTGCTTGAGAACGAGTTCTAGCCTAGCTTCATGATTTTAGAGTACTGTACAGTAATTTTTGCCTGATGATATCAGTGAATTTTTCTGTGCAGAGCGAGGGAAGCTATTATCTCCGATCATGGTGTTGGAGATGCTGTCGTCGTCTCCTACAATATCCCTGGGGATGGTCTCGTCTTACCTGACTCGAGCTCTGGAAGCCGAACGCGGGAAGATTAGCGAGAGCGAGCAGCTTATTGAGCAATATTCCGCAGAAACGGAGAAAATGAAAGCCGAAATAAATCTCATCAGGACTTCGTGAGTTCAATTTCGGTGCGGTGCTCTTCAAAACAGTCTCATTGATTTTTTCTTGGTTCCGGTGACAGGGCCACAGTATTCCAAGACACGAAATGCCATGCGTGCAATCACCGCCTAGAATTACCGTCGATTCATTTTCTGTGCAAGCATTCGTTTCATCAGAGGTGAGTTTTCTTTTTTTCAGATATCATCAGTGTTCATAGTACAATACTGTGTTTCACTCTGGGCTGGATTCCAAAACTTTTTCCCAGAATGTAGGGCTTTCAAGAAGTAAATGTGTGTTGAAGAAATTACAGGCAAGCCACTCTAACTCACATTTCAAGTAACTAGCTCGAAAAAAGAAAGTTACATAGGTTTTGATATAGGGAAACTAGCAATTAGTGGTGAAAAAAAAAGAATTGAGTTGACAGGATGCTGAACTTGGCGGCAAGGGTGCATTTGCTTAATTAATTCAATACTGTACAATATTTCACTTTTTTCAAAACTCATCGATACCTCTTAAATTGATTTTATCTTTCTTTTCGAATAAAATAGTGACCAAAAGACCTTTGAAATTCGAGTTACAGAGGTTTGAAAAGCCTCCAAGTTAGAAAAGTTTTTAATGCATTGTTACTAGAAATCGGGAGGTATTTGATTTGGAGAGGTTCGAGTGATTGAGGTCCAATCTTATTCGTTTTGACGTGTGTCAAATCTTCGGTGGAAACTCATGTTGAAGCGCATCAGACATGGTGGTAAAATTGTCGAAAGGAGTTGGGGAATGTTTCAGGACCAACGAATCTGTTGTTTGCAATTGTGAAGCATGGCTAAAACCCAGTATCTTGAAGAAAACGCGTGATCTAGGAAAACGGCGCTAAAATCATGAAGAAATCCATTCATTTGACCATTTCCCGTCAACTAGGATTTGATGAGGAACGAAAAGAAAAATTTTGTTTTGCTCAATACGGTATATAATGGGGAAACAGGACCTGAAGCACGAATGGGTGTTTGTCCGAATTCATCGTGCTTATTATTCATCATTCATGGCTCTTCGTTACCAAGGGTTTTGTTTTCCTCTTGCAGTTGCTTTGAAAGCTATTCGGATAACGACGCGGAATGTCCAGCGTGTGCCCCGGAGAACCGCAAACTGCGCGACGTGATCGGTGCCCAGGAGAGTGCGACAGCGACGGACGACGATGCCGGCATTTTAAACGACAAGCTGAATGAGAAATTCTTTGAGCAGCTTGCGCGTGCCGAAGACGGGTTCTCTGTCATCGCGGAGTACTTTGGACGAGGGGTCTTCAACAAGGTCACGGTTGTCGCCGATCAGATTGCGGGCACTAGGAAGGCGACCACCCCGTCACTTGCCGCCTCGTCCGCCTTTGGTGCTGATCCGAGTCGGCCGGGTGGCGGTTATTCAGCCGCCGGGTTGAGCTCAAGTGACACGACTCAGCGACAGAGCGAGGGCAGAGTGAGAGCAGCCGAGGGGAACAGGATCAAGGGTCTGGAGTCCGTGTCTGAAGCCCGGTTGCGAGGGGCAGAGGGTGGCAGGGGTTCCGCGGAACCTGTTGCGGGTGCTTCTGAGGCCAGGTTGCGATCTGATGAGAGAAGAGCAGGAGCTGGGGACGGTGGGGGTGCCAGAGCTGGAGAAGCCCGGTTGCGGCTCCACGAGGGGACAAATGTGAAGTTGCTCAGTGCCGTACGAGCAAACCCCGAGAACCCGAATTCCCTGTCGTCCAACTTGGACCACCAAGGAGGGACAAGGGAACGACTTGGGGATCGGCGGAGTCCGGATGTGGTGGTTGCGAGCAGCACCCGGGTTCCTCGGGTGGAAGAGAGAACGAGTTTGGAGGCAGCTGCGGTCGCAACGCATGATAAATCTGAGAAGATCAGGAATCCGTTTGAGGAGGACGAAGATTATGATGAATCTCTGAATCCGTTCGCGGATGAGGGTGTAAATGAGCTGGAGCGGGGGAGTGATGGGGATTCATACAATGATGAGTTGAATCCGTTCGGCGACTCCTGAGGTATTCCCTCCCACTTCGCTTTTATTCCTCCTTCCGGTGCTGCTTGCATTCCCTGTCGAATGTATTCTAGGAAAGACGGAGTTTTTATTTATTTAAATGGCTAATGTCATGGAATTTCCTCAGTTCAAAGAAATTACAGTACAGAAATCCTGTGCATACCTTCTGTAGACTCGGAAGAAAGCCTTCACGCCATCAGGGAAAATTGGAATCCCGTTTTTTTCCTTAATCTCGTGCCACAGATCGCATTTGTTGATGACTCAACGCTGTTTGCAGGTAGTACTTGCGGGTGTCGATGAAAGGCTTTCTACTCACTGCGTTGAGTACATATTTTGGTGTGTGCGCGCGTCATTGCGAAAATTGCTTGAAGGAACAGTATAAATGCATTGCTTTGCGGGGAATCTGGCTCTTTCTTTTGACGAATCGTATTCTGTTCTGGAGCAGGGTATCTTGCAAATTATTTGAAAAGATTTTCAGGTAACCCGCGCAAGTGCTGAAATGTAGCTTCAAATGTCGTGGAAGGAAAGTTAGCTGAGCGGTTTTTGCCTCTGGAACAATGAGCAATTCAATCCCATTTCTCAGCAAAAATTACCCTGTCCATGGCACAATCTCGTCAGGTGCACAACTGTGATAGAAAAGACTTGTGTTAAAGGATTGTTACATAATCTCAATTTTTCATCATCGTCGAAAGACTCCGTCCGCAAGAAAAAGGGGAACCGGGGTTTAATCAGAATTTTGAGAGAATGAGGAGAAATCATCTCTTGAATTTTGTGTGGAGAAAAAAAAGCTCCAAGCAAGTGACAGCTGAACTATGTTACGGTTGGCGCAGTGAGACTACCGTACTGTATATGCAAAGAAAGTTTTATTGCATCCTAACCCTTCTTGGATGTAATTTTTTTCACTTTTTGTTGGGCGAGTTGGACAACAAAGCGCAGTGATTCTAGAAGATTTGTCTTAAATGCATTCCCGCGCCAAAATGCGATTTTATTAGCAGAAGTCTTATGAAATTAAAAAGGAATTTTTTCTCCGGAGAATATTCCTTCACTTGAGGATGTATTTCCTCGTGTATACAGATACTGAATTATAAAATGAAAGTACGAGATGTTTTTCCTAATAACATATTTTTGTTCACTTAATCTCTTTCTGGGTTGCCGAACCGTGGAGAGCATGGTGCGCAGGTGTTACGCTTCATACAATGGTTATTTCAGTTGCATGTGCTGAACGACTTACGAACAGTAATGAGAAAGTTGCACAGGCCTGAATCATCTATTTGAACATTGCCTGCTAAATTCTGTACGAAGTTATGACATGCTGACCATAAGAGAAGAAAGGATTACGTTGGTACCACAATTGAGCTTTTCTGACGAAGTACATAATTTCAGGTCATTATCTTGGGTGATTTTCTTCGCATTAGTACGTACAATAATCGCTAATATCTGTTAAAAGCCCCGAAGAAAGCAGAAAAAAGCTTTGAATGACAGGCTTCAAGTAATCCAGAAAATACACTTCCCTAAGATTAATCATTTAGGAACTGAGTCAACTCTATTAACGCCGTCAAGGAATCCCAGGGAAACTTTCTAGAGCTCTATTTAATCCTAGTTTGATCACACTAATGCTCTTTAACGCATAAATGCGGACATCGACAATAATTGAATAATCTTTTCTTTTATATTTTCCTAGTATTGTATCATAGCTGGAACTTTTCTGGAGATTCAGTGACTGCAGAAAATATAATCGCCTTTATTTTCAATTCTGTAAAATTTGTGACATCATGAAGCTAATTCTGGCGGAACTTAACCAGGTGCTCAAAGCAGACGTGGATTGCATTCCATAATGAAGCAAACATTAGTTACGAAAAATGCCAAGTTATGCTTGCCTCAACTGCATGGATTTTTTTTATAGTGATTTGCTACTGTACATGCTCATCACGAGCAAGTCAAACGTCTGGAAAATGTTGGGACAACCTTATTGCATTACACCTTGCAGTTTTAAAATTAAGGTGTTTCAGCATGTCTCTTCCCATTCATGAACTTTTTTCGGCACAAATTTACTGGTCCGCGGAATTACGGCAGAAGTCGTGAACACACCTCAATACTGTATTATGAAATTAACAAACTTGTGTCGAGTGGATTTTTGTCATACCTTTATTTCAAGAGTGAACATATTAATTCTGCATGAGTTTTCTGACATTTTATGAAGTTTATCAAGATGGAACTGTCACCGTAATGAGAAGTGATATGAAACATAAGTGATTTCAGTTTGAGGATAATTTATTCTCAAAACTTCCGTTTCCGACTTTCTTCCAAGTCTCCTCGGGTTCATAATAAAATTTCCAACAATAAAAAAACCGAAAACTCGGGAGAAACAAATCCAAAATTCTTTTTCCATGCTTTCCTTCCAAGTCATCTATTCCCGTTTTTCATCTTTCTGCTAATTCCATCATTCTTTTCCACATGTGACCGTGCACGTATTCACTCGCGTTTTGATGCTGGATTCCGACAGCAAAAAGAAAACAGTTCGCGCATCTTCCAATGATAGTCAGACCGTTTGGGATAGCATCACGACTCAAGAATCCGGATCAATTTCCGACAAGCGCGGATTTCAATTTTTCGCAGTTGCTACAGTCAGTAACGGAATCCCTGGAATGAGCAGACCTCGTCAATTTTTCCAGAACCCTTTCAAAATAACGTGGTTCTCCTGTCGCGGTTCAAGTCTTCGTATTGCACTAACCAACTTTTTCTCCGCACACAACGCCGCAGATAGTCCGACCAAAAGCAATCATAGCACATTGCTGACAAAACTCAACCTACTGATACGAAATCCCAGTTTGTCCTTTCCCGTGAAGTGCATAAGCCATTCACACATGCTGCACAACACCAATATCACAGATTTCTGAACTGAACGGGGCTTTCCGCCACATCTACGCAGGAAGGCCTGAAATTCTCCAGCCTTTCAAGAGTTTGCTCCATCAAATCCTGGTTCCATTCCGAAAATTAAACAAAATTTCAAGATACATTACAGTACTGTATTGTATTTTGGCAACTATAGGCCGCATGCAAGGATAGGAGAGACATGAGTTCGGGAAGCCATTTGAGAAAAACACGCAAAAGCATTTTCATAAAAAATTAACAGGTTCTTATGATTTCAGAAAGACCATCTTGCTTTGGATTCATTGTCAGCATGTTGCCAACTGAGCAGTACTTCATTTTCTACTCAAGATCAGCATTTTAAACGACACGAAATACTGTTGCGTGAAGTCAACAAAAACTGGAAACATAATCTCAAATAGGCCACATCAGCGTTTTATGAGCACATTTTGGGGGTACGGCCTACAGTCGATTAAATACGTGCGGTACCATTGCGTCTTACTATGAAGACTGAAGAGAAACAGAAATCTGATGTAGTGAGATAACTTGAAAAGCACTCAGGCTTAGGAATTTTCAGCCCTTCCTCGTTTGCGTGACCATCTGCCAGAACTTCAAACACCCAATTTTTAATCGCGTGGAAAATGAACAGAAAGCAAAAAAAAAGTCTCCTTCTCTCGAAAGCTAGCTCTCCCTTCCCGCTGCTTCGCAACACGGTTGTTAAAAAAAAACATATCCTCGTCCGATCAAGCTCAAAATTAATCCGCGCAAGCTCCCAGTCCACAGGACATGATTGGAAGTTCTATTGAGTTTCATCCATCTACCCAAAGGGACGAAAGAAAGAAATGAGGAAGATCAGGTGACTTCTGCGAATCCTACCATTTCTGAAAATAGCACCGTCACATTCAGCTCGTCTCCTTACCAATACAATGCTTTGAGCCTTCGCCGAAAAATTTCTTGTTCATCATTTAGCAACGAATGGAAGACCCAGTAACCATGACGAGTATTACTTATACGCTAAGCACTCCGTTTGAAGAAAAAGACATAGTGAAACTCTCGGAACAAAGGTTGGGATTTTACGGGAAGCTAAGGGCCATTCTTCAAATGATTCCGGTAACTCAGAATAACCCGTATTTGGCAAACGAAGCATATCCTTTCTCCGGGAATTTCAAGTATAACACCGCGCACAGAAATACGTAACACACATTCGAAATCAATCAATGCATGACCAACTTGAACCGACATCAGAAACTCCCCTTGTTGAAATACTGTTGGATTTCGTTTGATTACGCTTCAATATTTGCTGCATCAAATTTCCGCGCGGTTCATATATATAAAAGAATAGACGTCCTGAAACATAGCATTAAACAAATTTTCTAGAAAAAAAAAAAAACAGCAGATGAGAGTTACGCCGAAAATCCTGCCAGAAGTCGTACAGCACTTAGTCAACACTACATTTCCCCCCAGGAAATACACGCGATCGGTCGGTGCAGGGAAGCATTCTTGAACAAGTCCACGGCCTTCCATCATTTTTCAGTAGTGAATCATTCACAAGTAGGACATACATTAATCTGACGACGCATGGGGGGAAAATGTCACCAACTATTATCCGGCTGAATCGTTTTGGAAAATTGTCCAGATGAGCACTTTTCGCGGTACATCAGTATTACTAACCTGCCTTCCACCGGGGAATGTCCATGAAGTCGAGGTTTTCACAAGGAGCGCAATTTTACTTGATTTACACCAGAACGAGAATAGAGTACGCCGATAATTGTTTAATTCACTTTAACCCTCAAAAAAGGACAACAACGTTATGTACTCGGAATGATCGACCACTTCTAAATGAATTGAACGCGCACGGCGGGTGCTGAATTAACCGGTTTACAGTACCGAACAGCGTGGAATTCTATAAGTTTCGATTCCTGATCTAAGGAAAATCGAAGACGCGACAATGATCCTCGACCACTCCTACATTCCTACCGATGCTCCTGAAACAGGTTAACAGGTGTAACCTCGCAAATTGGCCATTTCCTGTTATTTTCCCCTTCATATCCGGCAGGTGTCGCCTCAATCTAAATCTGATAATGAAATTTTCCAAAGAGCTCACCCCAGATTGTACTCTATTACCACGTTTTTATGAACTCACTTTCTTGTCTGTCTGTTTGTCCGGATCAAATTTTGAAACTCAAATTTTACTCACTTCCAGACTAGCTAGCAAGCTGAAACTTTCAGGATAGCCTAGAAACTGATGACAATGCAATCTTTTGTGAAAAAATTAATTTTAAGAATATTTTTTTTAAAGAATAAAATAATTATAGTAGATTTCTATAATAAAACTTTGAGCAGGTTTTCCTTGGCCCCAAGAAAAAAACCCATGGTGAACTGAATTGGTCGCAGAGGTCCGAGTTCAATCCCACCCCCTGGAACATTTTTTTTCTAATTAATTAACACGTTTTTATTAACTCACTTTCTTGTCTGTTTGTTTGTCCAGATCAAATTTTGAAACTCAAATTTCACTCACTTCCCAACTAGCTATCAAGCTGAAACTTTCAGGATAGCCTAGAAACTGATGACAATGCAATCTTTTGTGAAAAAATTAATTTTAAGAATATTTTTTAAAAAGAATAAAATAATTATAGTAGATTAAAAAATTAATCTAAAAAACCACGTTTTCAAAAAGCAAAAAATAACCTTAAACGTGGTGCGCATGGAGATTGTTGGGAAGAAGTGAAATACAAATGAAATAGATGCGCACCACATTTAAGGTTATTTTTTGCTTTTTGAAAACGTGGTTTTTTAGATTAATTTTTAATCTACTATAATTATTTTACAACGTGGCCGGTCGTAATCCGAATCATAATTAATGAAATTTATGAGACACTTGATAAATATGGAAGTAAATTCCTGAGCCATCTGCAGGGTATGTACTGTATGTGCTGGGTTAATATGGTCCTGTCGTATCTTCGTTTTATATACTGCTCCCGGCGTGTGAAATATTTTTGAAATCTTTGCGAACATTGCCTAGCATGCAGCAGGTGTTGAACTCTTCGTCACCGAAAGCAGCACTCCTTGTGATAAACACTCGACAGAGATCACATCGTGAGGAAGACTTTTCCCAGGGGAAGACTGATGATGGGCGCAATAATGATTCGGTAGGTATCGTATCGCAACGGATTATTGATGGGAGCATCTTCTTAAGCAACAGATTTCCGAACAAATGAGGCAATCAACACAAACGGACTAAAGAGAGAGAGACAAACAGCACTAAAAAAAATCACAGGGGCGCGGAAATTTGATGATGCATCGCCGGCGGCATGTTGACGTCGTCATTGGACGACGGCGGGGAATTGGAGGCGCCGTCGGGTCCCTCCCGTTCATCTCGTGCACAATTCACACCCACTTTCAGCGGCACCGTCGGCGGTTGATGATGCGAACCAGGTCCGACTTGCGACGACGACGACGGCGGCGTCCCAACACCCATCATCGTGGTCGTGCCACCACTGAACTGGTGTCCCTGCGGGAATGGCGGCAACACCTTCCTCAGGTCGGCTCCGTTGAGCATGGCACCCGGTGCCACTTGCGGCGGCGGCACCGGCACTCCCAGTGGCATCGGACGCCTCGAAAGCGAGCCCGGCGGCGCCCCATTCGCCATCACCATGACCACACCGGGTCCAGGGGGTCCTCCTCCTGGCGGCCCTGGACCCATAACAGAGTTCACGGGCGTCGTGGCGCCGCCGTTCTGCGCATGAGGCCACGTGTTGGTGCTGTAGCCGGTTGTTGGCGGTCGCGGGGCGCCCGAGGTGGACGATGGCGTCGGCGGCGCTCCCGATGGCAGAGGTGGCGGTTGCTGTTGTTGATGTTGTGGGGCTGCAGGCGGCGGTATGTAGCGTGGTGCGGGCCCGACGGGGTGATGTGGGTGCTGATGACCGCCGTACACCATGCCAGGGACGCCGGAACTGGGCCTTGCGAACCGCGCCGGCGGCCCAGGCTGTTGTTGACTAGCGGCGGCGGCACTCATGCGCAACTCCTGCGTGGACCCGTAGTAAAGTGTGCGCTGGAGGTTGTTGTTGTTGTTGGTGTTGTTATTTTGGGCGGCGGTCAGAGGCGCCGGAGGCAGAGGACCGCGCAACAGCGGCGCCCCACGCATCATCATCATGCCCGGCGGCATCGGGAGCGGTTGTTGTTGTTGCTGCTGTTGCGCCGATGTCAGCTGCTGTGGGGCGTAGCGAACTCGAAGAGGCGACACTTCTCGCATTGGACCGGGATGCTGCTGTTGCTGCTGTTGTTGCTGAGGGCCGCCACCACCACCACCGCCGCCTCCGGGGGCAGAAGGCGGCATGACTTGACTAGAGTAGGCGACGAGCTGGTGGATCTGCTCGCCGTTGGGGCCAGAGACGACGACTTGTCGCTGCCGCCACCGGACGTCGTCGGCGAACGGGCCGCCGGCGCCTGAGGCGGCCTGCACGAGGGGGCCTGGAGTCGCTGATCGCTGGACTACATTCGAGGCAGTCCTGTCAAACGGAATAGCATTTGATGGAATTTGAAAATTGGAGATCAACTAATAAACCAAGATAAACTCATCGTTTTTCAGCTCAATCATGTGCCATCATTTAAAATTTTCATCCCGAGAACTTTTGTTCGACCCCTTATTGTAAGTCTTCGTAAATAATAGAATATGACCGTGCATTGAATGTATTCTTCTTATAAATAAATAATACGGGTCGAGGTGAATGGACGGATGCGGACCTGTACAGCGGCTGATCGACGGCGATGCTGTTGCGCATGGCCACCTGGCCAGAGTAGATGCCTGAGGCCGCCATGGCCGCCTCGTTGGGGCCGAGTATTTGCCGCGGCGGCGGCTGGTACTGCTGCTGCTGTTGCTGCAGGTGGAGCCGCGGCGGGTGGTGCCGCGGGCCAGTGGCGTACAGGGAATCCGCCTCCTCTTGCAGCATGGGCAAGGCCTGGCCCGGGTCCCCTGGGCCACCCAGCCGCCTCGACTTGCCGTTCATCATGAGCAGCTGCTGCTGCGGCGTCATCGGCTGCCCGGCCTGGAGCGGCGCCTCGTTCAGAGACATCGGCCGCCCGTTCCCCATCACCGGCATCCCCTGCGAGTGGCGGCAGACGAATCAGACATTAGTTACAAAGTACTGTTCCTGTACTGTTCAGTGACAGTACTGAATTTCCAAACAATAGAGACGTAACCCTATACAGTAAAATCTTGTTACAACAAATACCGTTACAACAAATTTTTCATCCACCTCCTGGTTAGGTTAGTTTAGGTGCTAACCTAACCTAACCAGGAGGTGGATGACCTATTGTTTGACTTTCCAAACAATAGAGACGTAACCCTATACAGTAAAATCTTGTTACAACAAATACGGTTACAACAAAATTTTCATTATAAAAAACTTAATACGGTTACAACAAAATTTTCATTATAAAAAACTTTTTTTCAAGTCCTGGCAGAAATCCTATTGGGTACATGTTATAAAAATCTCATTACAACAAACTGCCAATTCCAGTAAAACAAACATTTTATGAAAAAAATGCGCCCAGCACTACTATGTTGAAAAGGTTTGAGAAACACTAGTGATGTAAAAATTGTCAGCAATTTTGGAACATTCACCCTTACAAATCTTTGCAGGAATTGCATAAAAAACTTTTGAGTCAAGAAGGTGTGCTAGTATTTACTTGTTATTTGGAGTATCTGTTTTTTTATTATTAACAATTACATTTCTTTTTGAAGATCACAGTTTTTTAACCATTGAAAAACAACTGAAAAGGCCACAAAAGGAAGACCTTTAATATATGCAGGTTTAATTTGAAGAAAATCTTCCAATCAGTCAATAATTTTCAAAATCTCATTACTGCATAACAAATTATTTGTTACAACAAACTTTTTCTGAAGTCCCCACAAGTTTGTTGTAACGAGATTTTACTGTATTCTTGTTTCACCCACAATGGCATCACATAGATGCCGCTTGATTTTACCACGTTTTTATGAACTCACTTTTCTTGTCTGTCTGTCTGTCTGTCTGTTTGTCCGGATCAAATTTTGAAACTCAAATTTCACTCACTTCCAGACTAGCTAGCAAGCTGAAACTTTCAGGATAGCCTAGAAACTGATGACAATGCAATCTTATGTGAAAAAATTAATTTTAAGAATATTTTTTAAAAAGAATAAAATAATTATAGTAGATTTCTATAATAAAACTTTGAGCAGGTTTTCCTTGGCCCCAAGAAAAAAACCCATGGTGAACTGAATTGGTCGCAGAGGTCCGAGTTCAATCCCACCCCCTGGAACATTTTTTTTCTAATTAATTAACACGTTTTTATTAACTCACTTTCTTGTCTGTTTGTTTGTCCGGATCAAATTTTGAAACTCAAATTTCACTCACTTCCCGACTAGCTATCAAGCTGAAACTTTCAGGATAGCCTAGAAACTGATGACAATGCAATCTTTTGTGAAAAAATTAATTTTAAGAATATTTTTTAAAAAGAATAAAATAATTATAGTAGATTTCTATAATAAAACTTTGAGCAGGTTTTCCTTGGCCCCAAGAAAAAAACCCATGGTGAACTGAATTGGTCGCAGAGGTCCGAGTTCAATCCCACCCCCTGGAACATTTTTTTTTCTAATTAATTAACACGTTTTTATTAACTCACTTTCTTGTCTGTTTGTTTGTCCGGATCAAATTTTGAAACTCAAATTTCACTCACTTCCCGACTAGCTATCAAGCTGAAACTTTCAGGATAGCCTAGAAACTGATGACAATGCAATCTTTTGTGAAAAAATTAATTTTAAGAATATTTTTTAAAAAGAATAAAATAATTATAGTAGATTAAAAAATTAATCTAAAAAACCACGTTTTCAAAAAGCAAAAAATAACCTTAAACGTGGTGCGCATGGAGATTGTTGGGAAGAAGTGAAATACAAATGAAATAGATGCGCACCACATTTAAGGTTATTTTTTGCTTTTTGAAAACGTGGTTTTTTAGATTAATTTTTTAATCTACTATAATTATTTGTTTATAGTGCCCTGCCATAACGCTGAAGCTGGGCAGCGGGTCCTTATTGTACAGTAAAACCTCGTTACAACGAAGTCATTGAGACCGGTAAAATGGCTTTGCACATTTAACGAAAAACTTGTTATAAAGTACAGTAACTCATTTAACATCGTGACTACAGGGCAGGGACCTAAAAAAATGACTTCGTTGTAATCGATTACACGCGTTTTAACGAGATTCTACAGCAGTATTTGTATAAGACGCGCAACTCGATGTTTAAGGCAAGAAAATTCAAGAAAATCAATCCTGAGACGCAGAACCTCGTTTTCCATGGAAAAAACATGAGTTTACTTTAGGAAATAAACGGTAAAAATTTGAAATTTATACTAACACACTTTCAAATGCAATTCTGCTGCATTTGCTTTTGTTTCACATTTTCTTCTGCCAGTTTGATCTGAGTAGAAAAATTTTTTTTATTCCTTCCCTATGTCTAAAAAAATTTCCACAATCTGCACAGAATATGTCTGAAGTATGACGCGCCAAAAATTTAAAAAATTTGCAGAACAAAATTACTTGAGTACAATGCGCAAATAACCATTTTTGGCTTACTTTTTGCGACAAAGGCGATAGCGAATGCAATATACGAGGTATTAGCACACTACAGTAATATAACAATATGATATAAAAATACAAATATAAGTAATATATAAAATATAAAATGCGAAACTTTCAGCGCAATCATTATTTTCAATCCACAGGTTACAACCCAATTATATCCAAAAAAGTTTCTGTCAAAAATTACAGGTTGAATCAAGCACAAAACAGTGTCAAAAAGGTGTTACGAACACTTGGGATATTCAAATCTCTGGTCAACTGCAGTCCGTCACACTTGTTGTTAATGAGAATACTTGAATACTTGATAATGTTAATGAGTACACTTGAAAAAAAAGAAGCTAGAAAACAAAAGTGAGGAAGAGGCGTTACATAATATCATCCACACCACTGACATCAAGAACACGAAAAGATCATCAAAACTGACGTCAAATTTTAAAAACAAATTTCTGAAATGATTTTTAATTTATTAGGTAATCAAACATGAATCAGCCACAAATAACTCGAGGAAAAAGCCAGACGTCTCATATTAAGGACACCTGATGAACGCAGCAGAGCAAAAGAAGACGAAAGATGAGCTCCGCGGGATTCACTATACTGTACTGTACTGTACTCACATCAGCGGCGATCATGCCGTAGGGCCAGGTCATGGTGTGGTTCGGGTTCGCGGCACCCGGGGGCAGGACACCACCACCAGGCGGGTTCATCATGGGGTTCCCGCCGGCCATCTCCTGCTGTAGCTGCTGCAGGATCTCCGTCGTCGACCCGAACCTGGGTTTGATTCCGCGCACGCTGGGTCGTCTGCTGAACCCGCCGTCGTCTTCGTCGTCGTCCCCGTCCTCGTTCTCCCCGCCGGGGTCTTCGTACTTTCTCCTCAGTCTGCGAAACATTTATTTTTTTTAAATGCACGAAATTGAAACGATCGACCTGATCATGTTGCTACTAGACAGTGATTCGTTGCTGGCGCGTCTGTGTTATTCGCATTTCACTCTTCAGAATCCAGACAAAATTAAATTTATATGATTCCACGAAATTATTTTTATAACAATTTTTTGTGCCTAGTTTATTACTGTGTTTCGATGGGGATTGGGTCTTCACATTTTCTTCCTGGGAAGCAAATTACCGTATTTACTCGAGTACCACGCGCACCTTTTTTCTCAAATTTCAAAAGAAAAAAAGGGGTGCGCGTCATTATAGCGGGTAAAAATTTTCCAAGAAGTTTTAAGAAGTTATGTGTGCATTGTACTTGATTATAATGGAGAAATTTGGATTTTTGTACTGAAACAGTTGAAAATTGATCAGATTTTTGTTCAATTCACGTCTAGTCATTTTTTGTTTGTTTTTATTTATGAAATTTTTTGCCTGTTTCAGATTCACTAAAAATTGGGGTGCGCATCTTACTTGGGGATACAATTTTAGAAAAATTTCCAACTGAAAAACCCCTGTGTGCGCCTTACTTGAGGGCACGTGGTGCTTGAGTAAAAACAGTAAATGCACGCATGATAAAAGAAAAATCATCACAATTATTTTGCTAATTCATAGATGCTTTTAAGCCTCTTGGGTCTTTGGATTTTCTCCAATCAGCGCCTGTAAAATTAAATACAGCCAAACTCCGTTAAGATGACCCGCGATGAAGTGCCACCCTCAGAAACTGCCAAAATTTTGAATGAAACAAATCTCCTCCATGTTAAATTCTATAGAAAACCTCCATAAGACACCAACCGCCATCTGCTGGCATTAGTGATGAAACAAAATTGCTGTTTCCTATTAGTTTTATCTTTGTTACAATGCCAACATTGGGGTAGAATCATAATTTTTGTCAAGGATCTTGTATTTGTGAGAATAAAAAAAGATGATGATCATTTTTTGAAAAATTTGAACAATATATTGACATAATCTAAAAATTCGAATAAATTGATGCAGCAAAATTAATTTTCTGAAGGAGTAATTTTCTATTGATCACAGTAATACTCTTTGGAAAATTACTGAAGTTTCTAGAAAACCTGCATGTCTATGACTTCTGGAGGAAAATCCATTATTTTTGATCAAATAATTTAAAAATGAAATACTGTATTTACTCGAGTACCCTGCGCCCTTGAGTAAGGCACTCACAGGGGTTTTTCAGTTCAAAATTTGGCTAAAATTGTATCCCTGAGTAAGATGCGCACCCCATTTTTAGTGACTCTAAAACCACAAAATTTCGAAAATAAAAACAAAAAATTTGACTTTAGAAGTGAATTGAACAAGAATCTGATTAATTTTCAAATTTTTCAGTAAAAATAAAAGTTTTCTTGGTAAATTTGTCACATATTTCTCAATTATAATCAAGTATAATTAACAAACAACTTCTTAAAACTTCTTGAAAATTTTGTGCCCGCTTATGATGCGCTCCCCTTTTTTTCTTCTGAAATTTGAGAAAGAAATTGCGTGTGGTACTCAAGTAAATACAGTATTTGATAAACTGCTAACCCCTCTAAACCGCCAAAACTGCTCCGGACAAATGGTGGCGTCTTATCAGGGTTTGACTAAGCATGAATTACATAAGTAATCAAAATTACTGTATTTTGTTATGTTTTTGCTAAAAAAAAACAAAACTCATACTCTGTTCACTGTTCTCAACAGCGGAAAATTGGCACGTCGAAGCAGTTCCACGTGCCCAGACAATAAAATAAAAATAAATAAACCCCCACCTGTCCAGGCGCTCCTTGTCACGGGCCACAAACACGGCCAGCTCGTCGTGGGCGTCCGGGTCGCTGCCACTGAGGTCGCTGTTGGTGAGGGCGGCATTGTGCTGCGTGGACGAGTAGCCCGAGTCGGAGCCGACGCCGTCATTCACGACGCCTACGCCGTACCCGTGGCCCAGCGGGTGATGATGGTTGCTGATGTAACCGCCACCGCCAATACCACCACCACCACCACCACCGCCGCCGCCACTGCCCGTCGAAATCGGGTGCGGGGACGCGTCTCGAGACCCGTGTCCACTCTCGTCGTCCAGCATGCTGTCCGACGTGTCGCTGCTCGTCAGTGAGAATCTGTCGCCGGGCGTGAGGAACCGACGTCTGGCCTCGGCTGCCGACAGGGCTCGTTGCTGTTGTTGTTGCTGGTCGGCAGCTGCAGCGGCGGCGGCGGCTGCTGCTGCCGACGCAGTGAGAACGACGTCTGGCGGCGGCGGGGGCGCCGATTGTAGCTGCTGCTGCTGCTGCTGCTTGCTTGATGACGACGAGGAGGATGACGAGGACGACGGCAACGTCGACGAGTCTCCCTTGTCGCCCTTGATGGACTTGACGAGTCGCGAGAAAAGACCCGACTTTTCGTCCGTCTTGCTCGACTTTTGCTGCGCGTTGAAGAAACACGAAATCAAGGTTCAGGCAAGAACAAAAATAATAATCAGGAATTCGACGGAATTGAATAAAGTAAAAATATTGGTACAACAAACTTTTTGGGGACTTGAGAAACATGTTTGTTAAGCTGAATAATTTGGTGCAACAACATTTTTCAAAATTATTGACTGGAAGAAAGTTTCACATCAAACCTGCCTATAATCAATTAGATCTTGCTTTTTCTCGCATTCTCAGATTTTTTATTGTTCGAAAAACTAATTCAATCAGTTACGCCAGTTTATTTTTTCCAGACTGTCCCTGCCTCAGTCAGGAACTTTCTACCTGGAGAATCTATCGAACATTCCTCAAACAGTATGTTATACAGTACTGGAATTGATAAGTTTGTAGTAGCAATATTATTTTAGCATATTCTTTATTGTCTCTCTGCCTGGACATGAGAAAAATTATTATACTGAAACATTTGTTTTAATGGTATTTGCTGTAATGAGATTTAACAGCAATGCTTAAAGGGCCGACGGATTTTAATACAGGTGCTAGACATTGAAAATTAATTGCACAAAGCGTCGGGAAGATGCAATTATTTTATGCAAGTACAATCGGATTGAATCAACACGAGCTCGTGAGGTGACCTAAAAGCTCACAAAAATAACCATATTTGTAAGGAACTGCATTGAAATGATTCTTGAGAAAAATATATTCAAAGAAATTTGAATACGATATTGCGGCCAAAAAAAAAAAAACTCGGAAAATTTTACTTCACAGGAAATAAAATAGAAGAGGGGAAAAATAAATTCCCAGCAGATTTTCGTCCAAGGAATTAAATATTGCACAAGGAAAAAACGTGAAAAACGGAAATTTGAAGAGAAATTCACAAAACGGCGGCGGAAAATTGAACTTGGATCAAAATTCATTCAGACTGAACCAACGGAGCTTTGCATAATAAACTGAAAACCCTAATAATTTTTTAAAATTGGAAATGCATAAAAATCATCATCACAAACTTATACTACCCTCAAAAGGATTAAATAGTGCAATGTGGCCCAATCAATCGAAGAGTAGACTTCACAAGGAACTACACCTGAACAAAGAAATGAAATTTGCAAGTAACTCGTACTTGAAGAAAATTTACCATTGCGCAGTGGCCGAAAAACTTCAAGACTAAAAAACAATTGTTGACTTCACGTCACCAAAAAAATAAATCTTGGGAATGGTACCAGCAATAAATTCAGAGTTTATGAAATTAAAAACAATTGTTCATGGAACCATTGACGGACAATGAAAATAAAAATAATAGCTCAAAAAATTCAGAGTTGATGAAATAAAATAAAAAATTGTTCATGGAACCATTGACAAAAAAATGAAAATAAAAAATAATAGCGCAAAACAATTCAAACTTACGAGATGATAAAAAACAAACAAAAAATACTCACCACTTGCTGATCAGGGGAAGATTTGGGGGGTTTGGGAGCAGGCGGGATTTGGTCAAACTGCTGCTGATGATCATGCATTTGATGGTGCGGATGGTGATGGTGGTGATGATGGTGGTGGTGGTGGTGCGGGTGCATGGCGTCAACTGCGTCCATGCAACCCTGCTGCTGTTGCTGCTGCTGTTGTTGTTGTTGTTGGTGCTGCTGTTGTTGTTGTTGTTGTTGGGGGGACAAGTTGGACTGTATTTTCCACTGTCTCACGTCCCCGGGCACCACAATGTTGTCCTTTTTCTCATGGAACCGCATCAACGTGTCGTTCCAGTGCCTGGCGTTCGCCACTCCGCGGGGAAGCGTCCCGTATTCCGGCGGCAACTTGGAAAACCTGGAAACAAATTCAATTTAAAATTCATCCAATAAAAACCAAGAACGAAATTAACTCGTTATGACGCCAAAGATAATACAGTGAGACCCCCAAGATGCAGACGTAATTGGGGAACCAAAAGTGTCCCTAAGTCGAAATGTCCCTAAGTTGAGTCTATTGCTTTAAATATTAAAAACTATTTATTGGGAGAGTAAATAGTTATTTTAAAGTATTAGGAAATTTTATTATAATTTAAATATTAAAAAAAAAACTAAAAAATATTATCAATGCATTTTTAATTTTTTATAACTTTTTTAAATTTAATTTTTTTAAACATTTTTAAAAAATCTCAAAAACCATTTTCAAGTACTCAAAAACACTTTCGAAAACTCGAAAGACATTTCTGGAAAGTCATAAAACATGTTCGAAAACTCCAAAAACAATTTTCAAAAGACAGAAAAAATCATTTCAAAACTTCCTTGAAATCATTAAAAAATTATCTCAAAGAAGCCCAAATTATTTAAAAATTATTGCTTTGAACACATCTTTCGAAAACCTGTATAAAAGTCGAAAAACATTTTCAAAAACTAAAAAAAAAAAACAATTTTCGAGAGACAGGAAATCATTTCGAAGCCCCCTTCTCGAAATACAATTACTGCACAACATGACCTAAAAAAAAAGCCCAAATTACTGCTTGATCAGGCGAAATGAAAAAAAAGAAGAAAAAACAAATTCGCAGATTTCAGACGGGCTTCGTATGACGGCGACTACACTCACCCGTGTATTTGGCAGGGAGGCGGCGGCGGGGGCGGCGTGTCGCCGGTGCCCTGTGGCGGCGACGGGCCAGCTCGGGACAGCCACTGGAGCTGCAGGGCCTCGAGCGTGGCGTTGCTGGTCGGGTCCGAGTTGCGCTTGCTGGCCTCGGACGCACTGGCGGCGGCCACGAGCTGCCGCCGCAACTGCTGGCGCCCACTTTCCAGGTGCAGCTCCGCCGCCAAGTCGGAAAGGTTGTCCGCCGAGTAGGCGTGTTGCTGCGCCACCAGGTCCATGTCGTCCACGAACCGCACCTAAAAAATAAAAAATAAAAAAATAAAAAACCACACGTGACGTTCGTATTTTTTCTTCTCTTTCCTTAAAAATTATTTTATTTCCCTTGTTTTTGTTTTCTTCTTAAAAATCTCCAGATTTGCACAAGAGTTATTGCATCTGAGTAACAGCGCAAAAGTCCTCGCATATGACGTGTAACTTCATTTTTGTAAGCCTCGGAATCGTCTAAAAACTTATTCCTGAATAAAAGGCGCAACCCAGTTTTCATTTAAAAAAAATTTTCCTAATTTCAATAATTGCAACAGCTGAAACTATCAATTTGCACTCTTAAAAAAAAGAAGAAATTTACTTGCATTTAATTTCCTACGCTTCTGAAGTTGATGCGTAACGAGCTGATCGAAGGAAAACGCGCACAAGACTTTTGAAAACAATTGCAGGAAAAGTTTGTACGCCGCACACCCCAATTTTTTTTTTTTTAACTTTGCGGGACTGCAAAAAAAATTTTCTTGAAATTTGCCTGTCGGCACAAAATTTTCCTCTAAACAGAAAAATGTGCATAAAATTTGCTGGAAATTTGCCCGACCACAAAAAAAAAAATCTTGTGGAAATTTCGGGCCCGAAAAGGTTGAGGAAACCCAGATGTTTAAAAAAACTCACAGTGCGGGTGGTGAGGACGCCGGATGACGTGAGCGTGCTGGGCGCCGACGACGAAGACAAAGTGGCGTCACTGAACCGCACGCTGCGTTTGGAGCCCATTTCCAGGCCGTCGTCCGTCGTGGCCGTGTTCTGGCGCCACAATTTGCCGCCCTTGAGGATACCCGCCTTGACGGCCGGCGCAGAAGGACCGTCGTCACTGCCGCCGCCGCCATTGTTGCCGTTGCCGCCGCAGACCGAGGCGGTGGTCGAGTCGGATCCGTCCGCCTCCATCAGGCGGTCGTGTTCTTTCACGTTCTCCACCGTCAGTGTCGTGGATGCTTCACTCGACGACGTCGTTTCCGTGTCGGAAGACGACGCGGTCACTGGTCCAGCTGCTGCTGCTGCTGCTGCTGGTGGCGGCGGAGTCGGCGGCCCGTCGCCGCCGGCAACAATACCACCACTGCCGCCGCCGCCGGCGCCGGCGTCGTCATCGGGCGGCGCCCCGGCATCCTCAGATTTCCGTTTATCCTCTGCACTGCTGTCTTTTACTGGGGAGTCCGGCTTCGGGTCCGATTTGCCTGCAAAAAATAAATTGCGGAAAAACAAAACAAATAGAGACATTAATTAAGTGCATTTCATTTAATCGGATAATTGATTCATGCTATTCATATGAAGGGTTTGCAGATGAGTCGCCAAGAAGACGTCATCAGAGATTAATTAGAATACCTTATTCACTCAAGTATTACGTGCACCCTATTTTTCGTAAATATAAAACATAAATATTTTTGAAAAAGGGACACGTACCCACATTTTAATTCAGACATGAATTCAACCAATTATTCAAATTAAAATAAGCTTTCCTCTTAAAATTGGCCCGAAATTTCCCATTAGAGTCAAATGTAATACACATCGAAACTTCTAAAACTTGAAAAAAAAATGACGCGCACCAACTTTTTCAATCCCAATTTTGAGGAAGAAGATGCACGTGGTACCCAAGTAAATACTATATGGGATTTTTATAAAATTGTTCGCTTTTTAAATCCCTGGGTCAGATGTATTTTTCAGAACTTTCCCAGATCTTGCAGAAAATCGCGAAAAGTCACAATAACGCATGACTGGATACGAAAAGACGTGATCGGAAGGGACAGAATTTATTTTTTCGGCTTTCATAACGTCAGTGCATTTCTTCCAAAAAAAAATATAATAGGAAAATTCCTCTCGATGCCAAGATTTGAATGAAAATTTTGCATCCGACGACTCACGCAGAACTTAATTTTACCCATTTAATGTTTTTGCACTTTTGTGAAACAGACAGAAATCAACCATCTTTCGTTTTTACAGTGCTTGAGGAATTTCGAGTCTGACCTTTTTCGACTAAACTATATAGGGCAGTAAAAAATTACAGCGTATAAGAACCGACGGAGTCTTAGATTCACGCGACATGGAAAGAAAAGTACATCTAAAATGAGTGACATCTACACAACTTGTGTATGGCACTATTTTTTCCTAGGACAAGTTTACAAGAAAATTAAAACTCAGTCTAAAAATTCGTTTTTGTGCGAGCGGAAATATCAATTTTTTACTCATACGACTGGACTTACATAGAAATTTTGAATATATTCGACGACGAACATTTTTTTCTTTTTTCAGACAGTGAAAAATCACGGTTATTTAAAAAATGTATTAAATTTAAAATTCATATTACAGTGTGTAAGAAGCTTAATTATGCATCAACCAAGATTGCAAAAAGGAAATCCCACTTCAAAGCTTAAAAACCACAACTTCACGCATTCCAAATGTTTGGCTTAACGTAATTTTCCGCGTTACTCGTAAAAATGAAATAACCCGAGAATATCCAAGATTACCTGAACTCACGAATATCGACGACGTTGATGGGTTTTGAGTAAAATACAGTAAATTTCTCAATATGGTTTAAATTATGAAACATCGATGGCGTAAGAAAGTAATTCCGAATGGGAAAAAACAAAATTTTTCTACCAAAAAGAATTTGCATAGTAATCCGTTCATCTTCCGAATATTTGGTCTCGGGCATTTCAAACGTTATTATGCATCGCTTGAGAAATTACTGCACAGTAATTACGGAATTTCCGTCTAGGAGCTTTCTGTAATAAAGAAAATCCTTTCTTCCCCTTTGAAAAAGAAATCCCCTGAGCGAATTTTTTGGTGGTGTTTTCAAATTTTTTAATTCTTTCGAAAAGAAGGGGAAAATACCAGCGTATATATACGGGTCATCAACTTCCTCTTAAATTTTGCACGGAAGCGCACGAACCCGACCCAAACCTTCAATTATGTGCACAATAACATCACGCATGTGTTAATTGGCAACGCCATGGAAATGTTTTTGGGTTTCTTTTTCTTTCAAAAATAAATTCCCAACTGGAACTTGAAAAAAAGGGTCATACCCAACGTTGGATTTTAAAAAAGGATTCGATACGATCACATTATTAAAATTTATATGCAAAAAAATGTTCCATACAACCAGGTCATCGTTATCCATAAGCATGAAAAATATTTATTAGAAGCTCCTTTGATTGATTGATCAGTTGAATGTATACACAAAATGCAAACAATCAACAGATTTCAATTAAAATCCCCACTCATCCTGCTTTTTCAAACATTCAAATATTTTCCGTATTAGATAAATATATTTATTCCTCTGACAATGCAATATTTCTTAAATATTTCTTAAAAATAATAATATCATTTTTCTTAATATATTTTTTAAATATTATAATATTTCTTGAAAACATATTTCTTAAAAATAATTACACAGCCCTAAGAACGAAAATTGTACAGTATGCATTTTCACAATAACCAGAAAACGGCAGTAAAAAGTTTTACTACAAACAAATGAACCACACAAAAAAATAATCGCCAAAAGCATGAAATAATTGTGAAAATTAACTAAAACGTTTTCTCAATTCCTTCATGCAAAAATATCAGAGGATTGTCAAAATGATCGAGTTTCATCGAAAACAAAATATTCAATGCACAGAAATGAAAAGTGCAGTTCGCAGTGAGAATTCCGGGAAAAATGCCTTGAACGAATTTTTATCAAATCCGGAAGCCTCAGAAAATCTGGAACGGTTTCCCCAAAAAATGAAACATCATTCGGAATGGAAGCACAGCACAAATAAAGTTCTGACACACACACAGACACACACAAAAGAAGTACCAAGACGCTGGAATTATTTTCCGTCCTTCACAATCCGACCTAAATTCGTCACATGATTTTCGAACGAATGCATCGCGTGACGCACATTTTTTTTTATGAACACGTCTTTCTTTTTCTGCCCTCTTTCATTCAAAAATTTCGTTTCCTTCCCGCAACGTTCTCATTTTATTTTCCATTGCGTTTCAAATGGCACAAACACAGCAACACACATACACAAAAACAGTCGACGTTACGCATTTTGTGGCATTATATAGTCCAGTCCTGTGCAAGTACAAACTCACGCAAAGTAACGGTGATGACGACGCAATTCGAAGCCATTCCTGTTCCGAATCAGTTCCTACATGTGGGCGACCTGGTTGACAAACATCACTACTGTTCGCGAACACACCACGAGTTTATATCCGAGTACTGTACATGACTTTGCAGCACTTGCACGGAGTTCGACACTTCATCTTTCCCGATTTTTTTTGTGTTTTGTTCAAATATGAGAGCACCTCGATTGAATGAATCACATGCTGTTGCTGCTGGTCGTCGCGTATAGAAGCAAGGGAACTGCGTGAAATTCCATAGATACCACGACACAAGACTATACAACTTTCTAGGCGAAAATCTAGATCCAGTTTCGAGGGAAAATGAGTACTGCAAGTATTTTTTTTCCGTGGACTGTGAAATGAAGACTCAACGCAAAATACAGCGGGATTTAGTTTCTCAGAAAATGTTCTGAATACAGTATTCGCCCATCGCCGAATAAACTCTTCGATTTTAAATTTTTGATGATCGTATGATGTAAAGTATTTTCAAATTCATCTGCCTTCTGATCCTCCCAATCTTAGTGGAATTCATTTTTGAATTTCACTGGGAGAAAATGTCTATGATTCAGATCAAAAAGTACTGTAAGTTTCTTGGATTGTAAAATGAAGGCTCATCGAATCAACCGCAGGATTTTCTTTTCAGAAAACTATCTGAATATTTGCAAATCGCCAAATAAATTCTTTGATTATTTTTAATATGGTTAAGATGTATTTTCAAATTTATCTTCCGTCTGTTCCTCCCATTTTTACTGGAATTTATTTTTGTGCCTGACTTACGATAGTCTTCGACATTCCAAAATAAAATACAATACTTTCCACCTCAAAAAAGTTCATCACAAGAGGTCCGTTAGTAATGCAAACTTTTTGTTGTTGCTTTGGTAAACCGAAAATTGGGCATACTCTGAAAATGAGTCTTATTTTTTTTCGTGAGGGAAAATAAATGGTATTTTTTATTAAGGGAACACGGTAAGAATTCCGGTTTCAGCGATGGAAACGGAACTGAAGCAATGCTCGAGAGTTTAATGCATCCTGTTCTTGAAACTACTTTTTAAAAAGTCCAATAGATCAAGCTTATTCAACCTTCGTACCCGGAAAAATACTGATGATATCCGCATTCAAGTACCAATCCTTGAGGGGGATTTGTAGAAACAGCTTCATGAAGTTAACATGATGAGAACTATCAAACTCTGGCCTCTCAAGAAATCAGTGTTGAAATAAATGTGACTGTCGAAGTATTCTCGGAACTTTTACAAGAATATAATTTTCTTTTCAGAGCTAGGAACGATGAATGGTAAAGAATGGTAATTTTGAAAGGAGTTTCTTGAGGACTCGGAATCCCGGGCAATTATTCAGATCATGGTCAGGGGGCTCTATTTTCTTCAACGATTTTATTAACGAACCAAGGTAAAACCCACTTCGCCTCTTCTGACTACAAAGACAGGGAAAACTGTTCCACGAAATGTTCGTGTAAAGCTTGATTCCGAAAGAAAAGTGACATGACAATTAAATTCAGCACATTTGTAATCTTATTGAAAACGCGAAGGAAGAAATATAACTCAAACGACTTCAAAGACAGAAAAAAATACTGAGGCATTTTACGGAATTTCACAGTTTTTCAGTTTTAAAATGCAGATACTTTCAAACCTTGCTCTCTATCATTCAGCATCAGAAAAAAAAATTCTGACTTGATATTGAAATTTGCATGAATATTTCAGTTTTTCAAAATCATATTGCGTGCAATAATGAATAATGTACATTCTGGTACTGTACAAATCATCCCAATGCCCAACATTACTCCCTCAGTTCCTTTCATGACATGAAGACCTTGTGCTTTAAATTGGGTTTAGCAACTGCTACAATTGCTATAATCCCATCTCATGCTTCAATTCTTGTTACTGATATTTTGTTTTCAGTGTCAGGGAAAGAAGTGGGTGCACACATACACATCAGTTGTGCATTGTGGAATGTACCGTATTTACTTGAAAACTGCGCACCCTCAAGTAAGGCGTGCACAGGGGTTTTTCAGTTGGAAATTTTGCTAAAACCTTATCCTTGAGTAAGATGCACACTCCAACCTTTAGTGAATCGAATTCCACAAAATTTCAAAACTAACCAGAAAAATTTGACTTTAGACATGGATTGAATAAAAATCTGATCAATTTTCAACTTTTTCAGTACAAACAAGTTCTCTTGGTACATTTGTTCCAAATGTCTCTGTAATAATTAAGTATAATGCACACATAACTTCCCAAAACATAAAAAAAAATTTGTACCTGCTTATGATGCGCATCCCTTTTTTCTTCTGAAATTTGAGAAAAAAAGTGTGAGTGGTACTTGAGTAAATACGGTATACAGTATTCTTTTATTTTGGTATCCATATGCTGCTTTTTTTCTTAGTTTCCCATTCTTAAGTGATGGAATGCTTTTGAATGGATTTGGGTTGGGTGGGATGTGGGAATGTTGATTGAACTTTGTGGACACTGAAGCAGAAAACAAAGCTTCCTGTTCATTCATTCATTCTCACAACAAACAGATGTTGCCATAGTATCTGAACTGACCAAATAAACAACTTAGTTACTATTTACCAAACTAAGTTCTCTTCACTGTCAAAATCAATAAAAAAGGCAGCCCACCCGGTTTTTTTTACTGGATCCAATGTCCAAGATCCTGCTAAATATCTGAGGCTGGTGGATCCCGGTGCCTACTTATGGGTCAGTATTTGCAGTGAAGTGAACTAGTTAGGGTGTAGTAACAACCAAAGAACATAATCTAATAATATTTTCTTACATAACTATTCTGAAAACTATCCTGACCAAATTGAAAAAAATTGATCCAAGCTGATTGAACTTAATGTGAGAAGATATGAAAAAATACAACTGAACCGAAGCTGCCGAGCCCAACTCCTTGTACTGAATTTGTTTCTATGAGTACAACAAAATACAGACCCCCAAGTCAACAATAAAGAATCTTCCCGAGTTTACGACGTTGAACATAACATTAGAGCGGGAAAAACAAGGCGAAGAATCAGAATATTTATTCAAATTTCCCTGGGAGTCGTTTGCATGCGTCGTCGTGGACGTAACACGACGTGACCTCACCAAGGTCAATCCTCGGCTTCATTCCTCGATAATCTCCCATCACAGGAAACCCGTCGTCGCACGTGCTCGCGACGAGCTTTATTCTTCCGGTCATATCCGGTTGAATACGTCAGAATTTCCGCCAGGGATGATCAGAAAAAAATAAACAAATAAAATAAAGCAAAGAATCTTTTTCCCATGGTCCCCCATTAGTGCGATGGGTTCCTAAAGACAACTCCTTGAGCCGAACCAGCACTTTGCCGCTAACGATATCATATTTCTCTTCAATGTGAAGCCAGACTCACACCCGAATAAGTCTTACGGCCCAGAAACTAAATTCCAGTCCGAAGAAAAATTTGTCGAAAAATAGTTTCACTGAGAATGAAGATTGCTTTTTCACTACTGTTTTCCACAAAAAAAACACGAATATTTATCATCAAGGCAAATTCAGCAAGCCAAACTGAAAACTTTTAAATTAAAAAATCGGAGTAAATAGGAATATCGAAGTCCTTCAAAACTAGAAGCACAAGCGATGAATTGAATTGCAACTAATACGAGATGGGTGCATTATTAAAAATTAATGTCTCCGGATTTCGACTAAGGCTCACTTCCCGAGTACAGTCATAAAATTTCCTGGACATATTTTAGAAGAAACATTTAAAAATTTTCCTTCGGAGTCATTTGCGAATTCAGTTCGTAGTGGCAGAACTGTGCATCTTGATGCACAATGACAAAAATGCAGATTAAAAGGTATTCCTTCCAGTTGAAAACGACAAAGACAATAAAGGTATTCGGAATTTTCAATTTTTAAAAATTTCCAATCAGCAGGGAATCCAATTTCTGGGCACAAATAATCGAAGTCTGCTTCATCGGATGCATTCGAATTGTGCAATGTGAGCATAAATCGAATAAATAGAATCAACTTCTGTCTTTTGGGGCATATGACCTATAAAAGACATTTGCTCCACATGACGCGAATTTAAAAAGGCATTAATGATCAATAAAGTTGTAACTCGGGCTTGTCGCAAGATTTTGCTCAATCCTTCGAAAGAATTTATAGTTTGCGACGCATTCTTAAAATGTGCGGAAAATACTCAGACACGATCCAGCAGAAATGGTATCTGGAACTAATCAAGAATCTATGAAGGGAAGCGAGAAGCAAGATCGTTTCTGCATAATTTCGTAAATGCATAATCTTGAAAATAAAACTGCTAATGTCACGATTACTGTAAAAAAATATTTACAACGACTCAATATATTGCTGAAGAAGCCTCGTCAGCACGAAAAAAAAAAAAACATTTCGGGACCACCGGATAAAAAAAAAGCAGACTGATATTAAAAATGAGTCAAACAAGATGCCACTCACAAGAAGAATATATTTTGAAGCTCATAGTAGGCTCGATTTTTCCTACGAAAATTACCAAGGCGTAATTTTAAAGCCATAATTTTGCTCAAAATCTTTGTGATTTAGTTTCGAGTTTCGATCAATGCCCATGTATGAATAAAATTGCGAAGAATTTATCGAACAAGTGATGTGGGTTTCGTCACACTGCGAAAGGAATCCTTCATTTTCATCCAAATAAATGTTCTTGAAGTTGTTGCACGTTTCAATTCTAAAGTATGAAAATTGGGTTCCTTTGAAGGCATTTTCTTCGTTGAGCTCTTCTTAATTGCCAAGCGAATTCTTAAATAATAATGTCAAAAACAAGATCAGAAAAAACCTGAACAAATTAAAATTTATACAGAGCAAAAATCCCGGCTGAGCCAGAAAAGATCCAGCGAAAAAAAACACCACATGCCCATTTATACAATTCAAAAGACTCAGGTGAAAATTTTTTTTTTACACCACAGCAGCTTTTTCAAATGAATAATTTGACGGAAAATATTCTAAATGACCAAAACCACGAACCTCGGGTTATAAATAACATTCCACTCATGGCAGAAGTAATTTAATATCAAAATAAAATCCCCTTACAGCTTGTCATAAAATGGCGAAGCATAGCATTTTTACACAGAAGAAGTGAATAATGAAGAGTATATTATGCAGCATTTTATATCGTTGGGATGGGATGAAACTGGTAGTAAACATTTATCAACATTGAGATGAAAGTTTTAAATTTCTTTTACAACACATTTGGTTTAGCATTAAAAAAAAAAGAAAATGGGTCCCACGCCTTCACCAGCAGAAAAATGTCTCTTTAAGACAAGAAAATAAATCGTCCATGAGCAAAATAAACAAAATATTTTTGGGCATGCACGCCATGTAGGGTATTGTACTCAATTCTTGGAAGTACAAAATATTCTTCCCTACTCAAAATTGCAGTGCCAGGAACATCCTGGCAATGCAGCATCCTCAACATTAACTTTCTTGCTTTGACTGTAATAGTAAAACCTTGTGAAGGTTAAATATAATTAGTAGTATATAAGCTGCTCCTTTTCCTAATCAGATCAGAATCAGTTCAACTGTGTTATTCAAGTTATTCTCATTACTCCTGCAAGTCAAGCTCATTGAGTTGTTTATTCATATCTTTGTGAAATACACTTTACCCCTCTTTTAAAGTAGGATTACCTAAATTGAATCCCGGTCCTGTCCCAGACTGAATAACGTGTTTTTATTCGAATCTTGATAGCACTTGACATCAAATTATATTGAGGCCTTTTGTGCCCAATACCAAATGTCCAAAAATTTTTAATTTGCTATTTGGAGGAAAGAAAATAAAAATAAATCAGCCAGTTTCACTATACATATATAGAACCAAGCAAGCGTCTGACACTGTGAACAACACTTGGCTTTACAGTATTGCTGAATTTGTGCGCCACTTCCCGAGTACATGTACTACCAAGTACTGCGTCATCATCACAGAGGCTTCAACTGGAATTAAGGATATGACACTTCGTACCTAAACCGCGTTTGTTCATTTCTAAAAAAAACATACACGTCGACACCCAACTGTACAGCGACAGTCTTATTGTCAAAGCTACACATCCTCTCACTTTCGTACCCAAATTCACATTTATTTTCCATTTCACAACTTTGATTGTTTATTAAACGGACAGTTTTTCGTGCGTTTTTTTTTTTTTTTTTTTTTTTTTTTTTTTTTTTTTTTTTTTTTTTTTTTTCTTTTTTTTTTTTTTTTTTTTTTTTTTTTTTGCGAGACTTGTTCGATCATTCCGAAGCATGGGTTAAAAGATGTGAACAGGATGATAGATAAATTGGCTCGAAGTTTCAGAGAAATTCCAGCTCAATTCGGCGCGATATCAGATTCAATACGTCAATATTAAAAACACCTTTTCATTCGTTGATAATTGGTTCCGAGTTTTAAATTACAGAAGAAGTCCATTTATGTTTGTCCCCTTCTCATCGTTGTGATTCTTGTTGGGGTTATTTGCCCCCGTCGTTTTACACAATAGTTCGCGTATCATCGAGCTGAAAAATAAAAACCCTGATCTAGGGGGTTTCTCCACTTGCTCAGAGTTTCACAGCCATGAATATGACAACAACCGACGTCGTCTTTTGGTGGACAAACTATAGGAGGCAAACACTGGGGCAAACACGAGTTTGACACCAAACAAAATATCTTCTTCCCCATCAGACTAAGAATACGTAAAAATAGGGAACACACCTAAAGATAAAGATAAAATGCGACGGGAAAATGACAGTTTTCCTCAGCTTTTCTCCACTTTTCACCCACGGGATACTCATATACAGTACACATACGAGGGGTTTCTCTAAAGTCTTGCAAATAAACCCCAACGAGAATCACAACGATGAGAAGGGGGGCAAACATAAATGGAATTCTTCTATAAATTAAAAGTCGGAACCAATTATCAACGAATGGAAAAGTCTTTTTAATATTGACGTATTGAATCTGAAATCGCGCCGAATTGAATTGGAATTTCGCTGAAACTTCGAGCCAATTTATTTATCATCTTGTTCACATCTTTAAACCCATGCTTCGGAATAATAGTACGAGTCTTGCGAAAAAAACGTATGAAAAACTGTCCCTTTAATAAACTCCTCTCAAATATATTTTCAAACACTCAGGAGCATTGAAAAAAGCTTTACGGCTCTTTTCAAGACCGAAATACTGCCTGAATTTCCAATAAATAAACGCTTCCCGTCCTGAATTCTTCCCAAGATTCATTTTATTCAGACAGTTTTTATTAAAGAAAAATTAAATTACAGAAGGCTTTATTAAAAAAAAAATGTTCACCCAAAATTTATAATATCACTTTGAGATACTGTATGGACAATTTTTGTACTGTATCCTCCCGTTTCGAACAACTATTTCAATTTTAATGCTCTCTTCATGGGTGAGAGGATACGCAAAAATTTTCATAAAAAACTCAAGCGTGTTTTTTCTGTCTTGAACTGTTCTCATACTGGAACATTTTTTCTAAACATAAATTACTGCATGCGCTTTTTCAAGAATATTTGCATAATTATTTCCTCAAGCATTGAAAATACGTGTATCATCCCGTTTCCAGCAAATCTTTAAACTTGACTGCTCTTTTCAGGGGTGAGAGAATATTCAAATTTGCCATAAACAATAAACGCAAGCGCCGCATCTCGTCCTGAATTCTTCCATGAGTTCGAAACATTTCTCTGCAAAACAAAATATTGATGAATCGCTGAAGAGGATTCTGAACTGACTCAGCGAGTCTCAATTTTTAAAAGAAAGGCAGATACAGTAAATCGCAAGACTTTGGAGAAATCCCTCATATATACGCCAGATTCCTCCGACACTACGGGGCATCGATCCCGAAACCTATTTTCTCGCCGCACCGATACCAGGCCCCACTATAAACACTGCGCAAAAAAATAAAATAAAAATCGCATCGCACGCGTATCATGGCAAATATTTCCCTTCGTCGGCAACTTGGCCTGATTTGCTGCTTGGCAGGATCTCTCAGCGACGGGGAACAAAAATGAGACACGAGGCCAGGACCCAGAGCAACAAGACCCACAAAGATGCAGCCCGAGATATTGCAAATGGGATACCATTTTTTTTTTCGCAGCGTTTCTTTCCAGGAATCATCTTTCCGG